CGACAGCATCTCCTTCATGTTGAGGATCTGGACCATCGCGTTCACGAAGTTCAGGAAGAGGTTGAAGAGGATCTGAAGGTAGAGGTAGATCTCCATCATGGTCGCCAGCACCTCCATCACGTTGACAATCTTCAGGATGTAGGCCATCATCAGCAGCCTCAGTCTCGCTACGTGGCGAGGTTTTTGGATCTGCCAATCGCGATCCAACCGGCACAGGTATCGTAGCCACCAGTGCATATTTGGCCTCCTTGGCCATACCATAGTCCCATCCCTTGACGAAGGGGCCTGCGACATCCACTGCCAAGACATAGACAGCATCACCAGCTCCACGGTGTTTTCTGCGACGGTGAGGAACATCTTGACCCATTTCTTCGACGCAAACTCGGCAATCTCGCCTGAAAGGCACATGGTTCTGCCGCACATGTTGACGCCAGTCGTCAAGGCTCATCTTTTTCACTTGAGCTTCCTGGTCCATTTTTTCCAAGAATCCTCGAAGAGCCAACTTGATGACTTGAACTAGGCCCGGGGACCATTCGGCCCAGGTGGCAGTCTGACGAAGACGGTCAGGAAGATCAGGTTGTAGAGATTCATGTCCCCCTCCAGATAGACCGTCCAGCTCGTTGAGAGCATGAAGGGATGTCATCAGTGTCGTTGGCTTTCGGCGTGAGTGGCCTGTTCGGCCCTGATCAAACTTCACCACGTTCAATTGGTGTCGACGGGCAAGCTCCCGAATCTCTTCCCATTCCCATATACTGACGGCATCATCGAAGCGTCATCGCCAAGATAATCCTGAGGGTCAGCAGGGTGCTCCATCAAAAAGGCACGTTCTTCATGCGGTTGGGCCACTTCCACTGCTCGGTCAAACAGGCCAAGCATCTTGAGTATCAGAGCACTGTCATCCGTGACAGTCTGAAGTTCCCATTGGTTCAGATCTGGCAGTGCCCAGCGTTGTGACCCTCTAGCACGTAGTGGTCGAGGTCCTGGTCTTTGATGACGAAGACGAGAAAAACTTCTGCAGGGAGGTCCACCCAAAATGGCAAGCAACCTGTTGCGGGACGCCAGGTCCCACAAATAGGACCAGATCGTGGCGTTGTGAAGGTTCTCCGCGGCATTGGTGGAGATGTCAAGCGTGATGACTTCATAGCCATTCTTCCGCAACCCCTCCCACTTTTTGGACATCACCGCACCACCTGAAAACAGGTGTAGAATCACCCCCTTCGAGGCCTCGATCTGTCGGCGTCTCCTTCTATTCCATGGTAAGGGTGGACCACTGCATTCTGACCAGTGTTTCCCTTGACCTTTCATTCTCTGGAGAACTTCATCAGGAACCTGCGGAAAGTACTTCCGCCACCATTCTTCTACATCTTTTTCTACCCCCAACCCATTTTCGGTCTCGACCTTTTCCAGCTCCTCCAGAAGCAGTAGGGCTTCATCTTCTTTCATGACTGGGCATCCTTGACGACGCCAGCACTGGAGGTTTCCCTTGACAGGGTGAGCGATCACACACTCATTCGACGACCACTTCACCTGGTAGCCGTTCTCGACCAAGAGGCGCATGGGTAAGATCACCTCGATGGGTTCCTTGGAGAGCAGGGTGCTGCATCCATCATGACGATACAGCGTTGTTCGGCCATGTGCAAGTTCTACAGATACTGGCTGAGCATCACGTAGCTCCGCTGCTGAACCTTGCCGTAGAGCATGTGTTGCCCCTCCATCAAGGAGGGCAACCTTGCAGTCCAATGGGGGCTCGTCCGAACCACCAGCATCCAAGAATCGAAGCTGCACAGCCTTCAGGCTCTGAAGCGACTTCATCAAGCTCGTCACATCGATGACCGGATTTGATGGGACCACTGGGATCTCCTCCACACCCTTGGACACCGGCTTCTCCTCCGTGGATCCGGTAGAGGATGAGGACGTTGGCTGCACAACCTGGGCATCCTTTCCTGAGGTCTGTTTCTTTCCTCCAGGGGCAACCTTCGTTGTGCCAGCATTGACCTTTGAGATCTTTCCTTTCTGATCACCATCCCTTTCTTGAGTTTTGTAAGGGCAATTGGGCTTCATGTGACCCTCCCCCGAACAAAAGTAACATCTTCCACTACGTTGGATTCCTTCCCATGAATGTTGATATGCACATTTATCTCCCCTTTTACAACCAACTGAGCTACCCCAAAACTTACATTTTGGTTTTTCGCCAGTAGCACCTAGCGGAGCTATCCCCACCAGTCCTGAGCGATGCAGTCTTGGGAACCTCCTTCTTCTTCACGTCAGAGCTTGAAGACGTTGATGACAAGGTCGTTGAAGGCCGGGACAAAGCAACCTGCTCAATCTCAGCTTGAAGGGCCTCCGCAAAGTACATCACCTGGTCAGCATCCGGACGGTTGTCCAACTTGAGGTCTTGACGTAGCGTGGCCACTCGAAACGCAGTTTGAGCCCCACCGAGTCGACTGATGTGCTCTGCCCACTTGGTCAGCACGCCCACAATCACCAAAGTATCAGGCAAGGTGACCTTGAGCTCGTTCGCCCTGTTGACATTTCTTCTCCACATCCTCAAGGTGTTGAGAACCTCCTGCACTGACGGGTTGTTTCCAAGACGATCCTCAGTGATGTCCTTCAAGAGCACAGTCCGCTCCTGTGGACCTCCAGGCTGGTACGTGATCAGCAGCTTGTAGATGATCTCGACCGTTGACAATCGCCGAGAAGCAATGAGATCACGTCGAACTCCTTCGGGAAGACAAGCTAGAAGCATGGTCACAGCTCGCTGTTCAGTGCGTGGCCACTTGGATGCTTCGGCAGGCACCGGTGGACGTAACCTCAGTCGGTCCAAAGGTCCTGACAAGATCCATTGGCGGTACCCATCCTGAGCAGCACCTACAATCAACTGCCACCAAACTCCTGAAGTGGAGCTAAGGTCAGACATGATTGGGTCGATTACAGCCAACCAATCTCCTAGAGACAACGCTGTTGTGTTTTCACTCAAGCGAGGCAGTTCCAAAACCCTCAGGCTTTCTGCAAACGACTCCCCAACTTGAGCCGCAGCGGTCCCCGGAGGGTGCTGAGCTCCATCAACCCTCAACCCTGACGACAAGCTTCCTGCACCAACTGGCATTCCCATGTCACCATGGATCCCAGGTGGATTGAACTGTGACCCACATGGCGTGTGTCCAAACCCCAAAACGTTCTTCACGCTAGCCGTTGGGGGATTTCCCAAAACTGAGGTGGTTTGAGGTAACCCTGGTGGAGTAGAGATATTGGGCTGTTGCATCCCCTCATCATTCCTACTCCCCCCTTGAGGTGTCCCATACGAACCACTACCCCCAGCCGCCGCCTTACGCCTAGCTATTTCTTGTTGGATTTGGTTTTCAACATTTTTCAACGCCTGGGCCTGCAGGGCTTCCAGTTCCAAGAGATCTCGATGAGTCAACCCATCCGGCAACACCACAGAAGCTCGTGCTCCTTCACCAGGACCAGCTCCATGTTGATGTGGTAACCCTCCAGCACGTTGAGCTGCTTCAGAGGGTCGAGCTGTTTCAGACGGTTGAGCTGGCTGACCAGCCCCATTTTGACCAGTTTGAACCCCACCTTCAACCTCACGCCTTACCTTTTCACTCCAAAACACATTGGTTTCTGGTGGACGTGGTGGTGTGATCAAACCCTCCGGTCCTTCTACTCGTTGTGCACCAGGATCTTGTAGAGCAAGTTCAGAACGTTGACGATGTCCCCCGGGTGGTTGAAGAGCGACTGGTTGACCTTGAGGTGGTAGATCAAGAGGTCGTAGAACAAGATCTGCAGGAGGTAGAGCTAAAGGGCCCAACAGGCTTCCACCATATCCTCCGGTTCTTTGATCGTCTCGTTCACCACCTCCCTCACCTTGTACCCCAGGCCGACAATCAAGTTGACCCCCACCAGGTGCTCGAGCAGTTCCGGCTCCATCTTGATGTCCTGCTAGTACAGATACATCACCCAGTTGCAGCGGCGGCGGCAAGAACTCAGGTCGCCTCACCCCATCCGCTATTTGTAGGGCTTGTCCAGCGCGTAGAGCCTCAGCAGCCCTCGCTAGAACGCCTTGTTGCTCAGGCGACAGGCCCTCCATCAACCTTCGATTCCCCTCATCCATCGCCACAGTACCCTCTGCTGGCACTACAGCTCCGGTCTCTTGGGTTTCATCTCCAGTTGGTTGACCTTCGCCTCGAGCAGGTGGAGCATCAGCCCTCGCAGAGATCCTCACCGACCTCACAGCTGGTTCTCCTCTTCCTTCCTCCTGGATCAACCGATCCAACCTTTCATCCGATGTCTCGTTCTCCGTAGCTAGGAACTCATCAGCGTCCCTTGCCCTCGAAGATGACCGTCGACGACGCTCCATTGCAGAGCTCAGTTCGGGCTCATAACCTACGGGAGGCTACAAACCAGGTGGTTATGGGTTCCGACAACTAAAGTTGCGTCCCAATGTTATGGGTTCCAACAACTAAAGTCGCGTCCGAATGACACCTCGTTGTTTTCCTTGGCAATCTCAGTTTGAGTCGCCTTGAGCCAACGCATTGGCCGGGCAAAGCTTTGCAAAACCTGAGTGCGACAGGGTCACAAATTTGTGATGTAACCGCATATAATATATACATAATGTATCATAATGTTATATAATGATAACGTGATTTATTCACGTTTATTAAAGCAATGACAGCAGGGATTTGGAATGATTTGGATGGATTTGGGGATTTTTAGCATTGAAGTTTGAAATGTCACTGGTTACACCCATGGTTTTGTAAATTACATAGGGCTGGAAAAAAACTTTGTATAGTGGGAAGGTCATGAATAGATCTTCCACCAGTCGGGGATTGCACCACCTCTCTGAATTTGAGGAAGTTGGACGTCAGTTTCAGGAGAGGTTGGTTCAATTCCATGTTCTTCAGAATATAGATGTACTTTTTCACTGCACAAGTGGAAGTAATTATGGTTCATGTTCTTTTGATCAGTTTTAAGTGGGAGTACTTACTGTAGGGCATGTTCTAAGCAACATTGTGGTCAGCTGCAGGCCCCATCTCATTGCCTTTAGCCTGTGTGTATGCACGACGCAAGCATGTAAATTCTCTGGAACACGTTTATTGCGCCTGAATTCACTGTCATTTTGTAGGCACCGAACTGTTCTTCCTTTGGTCTTCAACAGAACCGGGCAGTCACTTGAGTGACCCAACTAAATGCGAACAGATTTCATGGTTTAAACATGACGAATGAGAAATTGGTTTTGTCTGCAATAAGACTTAGAAGACTTCGAATCTGAGGAGCCACCTGCGCTGCCTCCGCCGTCCCGGCCAGCTCGAGATCCAGCGCAGCCAGCGAAGCCGGCGCCCAAGGACCGCAACGTTCCTGGGAGGGGGGTCGGGCTGGGCTCAGCCCCAAGAACATAGGGAGTTATATATATATAATTGTAAGCGCCAACATGACGCACAGCGGTCCTTTTTGACCGCACAGACTCCCAAGGCCCGTAGTTCGAGCCACATGTCTCATGCAGCGACAGCTGCTCAGCTAAGCGCAGCGGCAAGTGATTTCAGCCGATGACCTGCCAGATTCACACTGGCCAGACTCTTTGTCGGCTGAAATCAACAGAAGCACCTTTGACTCCTGTTCAAAACCTTTCTCCGATAAGGACCATATGCCTTCCTTTAAGACTTTTCTCAAGAAGTTACTTCCCATCTTTTTGGTAAGACTGTCGGAAATCATTTTAGTACCCTGAATCCACCGGACCTGGCCTTGAGTGCGTTGAAAGTCACGCTTCAGCACCGTGACGTCGATCGCCGTCCTCTTGTCCTCGATATGGGATGATGTATTGCAGCATTTCTGTATCGTGTCGAAGAGGGACTTGCTGTCCGTCACAGCCACACAGGGTGTTTTTCCGATCTCCTTCTCCCAGTCCTCAAGGTGAATCTTGCCACCAAAAGACTCCTGCAGCAAGAAGCGGAGCCAGTGGATAGATCCAACTCCATGGATCATTGCCTGACACTCCGCGGACAAGGTGTTAACCGTACATCTTTTGATTTTGAAACTCTTCCAACTCACTATGGAAATAGGATATCCTTTCTCCTCAGTCTCCATTCGAGCATCATAGAAAAAGGTAATGTATCCACCCTGACTGGCAAGTCGATCGTGCTGTAAGAACTTTTCCTGAATTGCCTTGTTTGGCTCACCCTCCTTCTTCTTCACGAAGATTGTTTGTCCACACCATGGGATCTCTCCTTTGGTTTGGACCCCCTTTCGGTGATTCCATTCGTCTGCATGCTCTTCTCCATCGGCGATGGTGCTCCGCCGATCTTGTAGTTGGTATACGTTAGGACCTCCAGGAACTGAGGCAGGATGAAATAGTAGACGTCGTGGTTGGACATGATGTCGAATCCATCGATCTTTTCGTTCTTCCCAAAAATCCTCGGTGTGGTTCTTCGGGTCGATCTTCACGTTAGCCCAGGAGGCATCAGTCACAGTTCCAACTCGGAGATGTTCAACTGGAATGGGATGAATCGTCAATCCCACGTCGGCATACTTGATGGCCTCTCGGGCTAGAGCATTGGCCTCGATCATGTCCTGGACATAGGGATGTGGCATAGCTTGTTGAAGTAGTGCAACTCGTCCCGCCAAGTCAGGTCGAGTTTCTTTGGCGAGCCAAGCTAAGCCACCTAGGAGACCACGAAGGTTACTGATCTCCTCCTCAGAGCAAAAGTCATATTTCTGTTTTTGGCGCTCGCGGGTGAGCTTGATGGGATTCACCTTCTGCGCATACAGAGGCTGGTGTACCAAAAAGCTCCCATCACTTCGACAACTGATCTCCTTTCCAACAAACCGTCCATTGCCAGTCGAGAATTTTCCAAGTTTGTAGTGTTCATTGATCCACTTCATCTTGTTCCAGTGTACCTGAGTACCTCCATGTAAGAGGTCGTCCGTGGCCACGCTGATCAAGCCTTGCAGTTGTCGATCTTGATCAAACAGAAAGAACAAACATGGATCGGCAGCGCTACACTCGTACCCCAACTGACATAGGACTTTCTTCAGGTGTTGGTACCAAGCATAGGGACCGTCTAAGAGGCCGTAACAAGTCTTCAGCAACTTAAGAAGTTGTCTGGGCGAATAACCAGGAAGGGGACAATCATGTGGTTGGGCAGCATAGATCTCTCTTTGGATCTGGTCGCCACTGTGGAATGCCTGCGTAAAGTCCAAATACCCTGGAGTCCATCGCAAACTGCAGAGGAGTTGAAGCACACTCAGTACAGTTTCTCGGCCACATTGAGGAGTCGTAGTTTCCAAGTTCTCAGAGTTCTCCTCACTGAATCCCTTCATCACGTGCCTCGCCTTCGCTTTTGTGCTGTTTGGGCCATCGTCCTGTAGAAGAACAGCTTCTCCTCTTGCCTTCTCCACTTCATCCTCATCGATGCTCTTTTCCGTCATCACAAATCTGGACTTGACAATCTTCTCCGGGGATTTCCTTCTGATCTCTTCTGATTCCTCTGGAGAGAGTATCTGGTATGCCTGTGTATTCAGGTTGTTATTCACCTCCTTCTCAATCGCTTTCTGGAACTTCTTCTTCTCCTCATTCGTGAGTTTGCCAAAGTTGACCTCCTTCTTCAGCTTTGCCGCCATGACCTTCTCAATCGAATTCAGCAGCACCTCCACAAATTCCGTGCGGGACCGTTTACTGTTCGGACCCGGGTTGTTTTCGTCCTCATCCAAATCCCGACCACGTACTTCTCCACGATCTCCAGGTAGTTCAGGTTCTTCGGCGATACTCGGTTCATACTGGTCCTCCGACTCGTATGGTTCTCCTTCTCCTCGACGAGATCGCTTCGGATCCGGTTCGGGTGAATCGGGATCATCTGGTTGTTCTTCTTCTTCACGGTCTCGCCGAACCTGAGTTCTGGTTCTCTCAGGTTCTCCATGTTGATGTCTCTCCTCATGTAGGTCTCTTCCAACATGTGCAGGTAGAGCAGGGACAGGTTCTCCTCGATCAGGTTGTTCTTCAGGAGGATGTAGTGGAAACGTGGTTCTCCCTGTCCACGGCATCATTGGAATCTCATTCCCAAACTTCAGAATCCAGTCATCATCAGTGTGAAAGCCGTCACCACCGCAAGTGTAGTGCCCTGTCGTGATTCGTCGACTTCGGAGTCGAGACAAATCCACAGGGCATCGGTCTCCCGTCTCGCTGGGTTGAAAAAGAGATTCACGAGGCACTCGGTGGACTCGATGTAGAACCCCTTTTTGTTCGTCAAGCAGCCACTCATCTGGTTGCATCCCTTCCGATCTTGCCGTCACCTCAGCCTTCGGTGTTTTTCCGTGAAGCCGATATTTGGGTTCTTCAATCTCTCCATCTGCAGGCTCGGCCTCGTTCTCCTCGTCAGCTTCCGTAGGAAAAGGGAGTTTCGTCAAGTCGAGGTATCCTTGTTTTGGTTGTGTCTCTAGTTCCTCTCGAGTGTTGGCGATGTCGTCGATCCAACCGGTCAGGGTGAATCTTTCATCCTCAGATGCCAGACGCAACTGCTCTGGCGCAGCCTTGACTACGAAACCCCGATAACTCAGCCAGACCGTACTTGGAGGTGAAGTCAGAATGACCCGGCTAGGTCCCCGCCAGAAACTGGGTCTCTTCTTCTTAGGGCCATCGGTTCCCTTCTTCCAGAAGTATACCAGTTGTCCTACCTCAAAGTCGCAAATCGGCCTGTGGCCACCATGTAGTGCATTCTTGATGGCCTGCGTGGCATCGGCTTCATGGAAAGCCTTTGCTGCGGCAAGTCGGATTTTCTCGGCTTGTTGAACTTGAAGATCTCCACATCGACGACTCATGGTAGCCAAGTCATTGCTTCCTCCGGTCAGCAGTCCTCCAGGTACTCGAGGAGTATAGCCTAGCACCCGTTGAATCGGGCTGAAACCTGATTTGTTGGTCAATCGATTGCATGTCATGTTGACGATATCCACCACATTTGACCACTCCTCAAAGGATGTGCAAGCGACCTGCATCATAGTTCGACTCAATACCTCCTTGAAGTTTCTGCCAGCTCTCTCGGTGATGCTCCGTTGAGTCGGCATTTCCAACGAGCTCGGCTCGATATACGTGGAATCATGTTCTGCTCCAAGTTCGAAGACTCCCTTGAACTCCCGGCCAAGATCCGTGTAGAGCTTCTCCGGTGGTCCAAAAAGACGGACCCATTGCAGATACGCTCGTCGAGCAGCCGCAGGGGTATGTCCTGGTAGAGGGATCATCATTTGAAAGCGTGATGCCCAGTCCACGATGTTCAGGGCCATTCTTCGTTTCCCGCGGTAGTCCGGTAAGTAGATGGTGTCAATACCGACAATCTGGTTCACTTGAAGGTTCTTCGGTGGAGCAGCACGACGTGGTGGTCGGGTTGCGGCATATGTTGTTCACAGACCGAACAGGTCAACTTCTTTGCCAAAGCCACAGCTTCGGGAGATGCCTTAGCGTCCTTCAAGATTCGGGCCAAACGCTCGTTTCCTGGGTGTCCCAATCCTTCATGGGCTCGGCGTACCAGTTGAGCCAGTGAGAACGGTTTCTCTCTCGGTAGGTATCGATGTAACTCCTCAGACTCCTCCGGGTTCTTAAGGGTGATGTCCTCTGCAGGGGCCTCGATCTCGGCAGAAACGTCCTCCGTGGCCACGATCTGCGTGGCGAACTTGTCCGGAATGTCGTTCGAGATGGCGATGCTGTTGATCTCCTGGAGAAAGTAGTGTGACCGTTTCCGATCTCGGTGAAGTTCTGGAATTTCAGTCCATTGGATGTTCAGAGGCTGCCCAAGAGAGAGCTGATATCCCTTGAGGATTGCTTCTACCAAGGGTTCAGGGTAGTGTTGAGCCTGCTTCGATCGCGAACCACCAGCGTTGCGGCCGAGAATGGGTTCATGTCGATGTTGTCCATCACACCGTCGGCCCAGCTGGTCAGTCACCTTGACGTTGTTCGACAAAAAGCCTGTGGGTTTTCGATGAAAAAGCCCTGACAGAGCCTTGAGCCCATACATACATTGGTCACAGGCAGCTAGGTGAACTCCAGGGTGCTGGATCAACTTCTGCATCATCGTCTCCAGCCATGCTCGCGACGTCAGCGGGTGTTCGAACACAAAAGTGCCTCCATATTTGAGCACCTCAAATGCGATTTCAATTCCAAACCTGAGGAGAACCTTAGCTTCAATCAGTCTTCGAAGGTACGATTCTGCTTCCGAGCTGTGATTCCTTTTTGTGAGATTCTGGAGCAAACTGAACAGTGTGCATGGTGGTGAAATGACAACAAGACCTGGCTTCACACTTCTGACATATTCACGGACTTCTGCCCTCATACCTGCCTTTGTCAAATCATGTCTTAGCTGTAAGTCAAATGCTTGTCCAGGACACAAACCAAAATCCCTAAGTTTCCCTTGAAAACGATTTGGATTGTACAACTCAGACACTACCTTCAGCTGTTTCTCGGTTTTCTGAAGCAGCCAGAGATATTTTTGACGCTTGCGGCGGTCGGTCAAGTCTGCGTCATAATGCGCCCACCCCACGGACTCGACTTGGTCCGGTGCTGTGCCCAATAGACTCATAATTTCGGACCAATTGGTTTCAGCCGTTTCCAAAGCCCTTCGGGCCTTTTGAATGGTACGGCGTTGCCGTCTATTGTACAAGGTAGTCGCATTGGACTCGCAGAACTCTTGTGGTTCTTCCGAACTCATTCGTCCTCTTGACTCTGAGACTTCTTCCAGCGGCGGAACTCCTGGTACTCCTGAAACTCTTCCAGGGCCTCCTTGGTCATTCGAGGCTGACTTGCTGAGCTGGCAGCACTTGATGCTGGAGTTGTTCCCCGGTTGCTCTCGGTGTCGGTTCCGCGCCGCTCCTTCTTCAGCAGTTTTCCACAGTCCGCACATTTCTCCTGGAAGGAGATGCCGTTGGTTCCCTGTGTCGTTGTCCTTCGATGTAGGCATCGAGATGTCACCTGGCTTCCGGTCGGTGTTGTCGGAATGCTCGGAATCGGCGATGACGGAGTCCCGGGTCTCGTGCTCTTCAATGATGTAGTTCGGCCGCTTCCCTTCTGTGATTTGCCCATCGGTGATCCGATCTGAGTTCCCTCGCTCCAGTGTGGTTGATACCGGGTCCAAGCGAAGAACTGGCATTGCTGTTGCCTCGGAAAATTGCATCGCCAGAACAGACGATTGTGATTGGGCCCCTCCTTCCGGGAGATGAATATCCGACTGGGATGTCCATGCTGACAGGGAGGAGGTGGCCCCAAGATCGTCAGGTCGTCCTCGGTCACAAAGGTTCCCGGCTGTACCGCCGATACCTGAGACCCGGCCATGCTGGATCCTGGTGACGTCGGGGCCCGGAAATTCTGGTTGTAGTGCGGCTGGATGATCGGTGCCTCGTTCTCGGACTCGACATTGGTCAGACCCTCCCAGCTGCCCAGCTCCTCCTCCTCGGCAATCTCGGATAGAGTCTCGGTGTGTCGCACCCCCGGTACAGGAGGAAACGCTGAGAATGGCCTCAGAGGTTGAGGTCTCACCCAACCTGCCAGCCGTACCATCATCTCGGTCATCCGGGCGATCACGAACAGGATCTTCATCACCAGTCGCTGCCAGGCTGTCATCGGCTCGGCCTCTGGTCGCGGTGTTGTTCTTGATCTCTTGGTCACTCCGCGAGCATCCATGGCCGCTGAGGCATACATCTCGGGCCTCGTTTGGTGGCGTGGGGGTCTCAGCAGGGGTCGACGGTTCTTGAGCAAAAACCTGCGTCGTCCGCAGTACCTCAAACTCGGATTCTTTGCTGTGGAAAACCTCCTGCGCTTTTCTGATTTTCTCTAACATTGGTTCAGTAAACTGCCCCAACGGAACCCTCAAGGCGCCACTTGGACCTATGTGACATTTGACCTTACAGCCAAAACGTTTGAGTTCCATAGAAAGCCCCGTGCTAGGATCTAAGTTCAAAACTGCCTTACAGTACATCAGGAACGGCAGAGAGATCAGGAAGGGAGCGTTCTGGGACTCTGGAGTGTCAAAGATCGCCGGTCGAAGTAAACTTCCCCTGGTACCCAAGCTTGAAGGGATCACCGCCGCATACTTTGTAGTGGATGTGCCATGAACTGACCGAAATTTGTGTTCCTGCTTAACCAACCGCGTCTGGAATCCCCTAGGCAGAGCTTGGTCGAGTTTTTGAAGAGTCTTCAACCCAATGGCCATACGTTGACATCCCGTGTCAATTGTTGCACAAAGGTCATCCGGATTGAATCCAGGGATACTACTTTTGTTTCCTTCAGACTCTCCCCAAAAAACGGGAAATTCTTCTTGAGACAACAAACCCGAAACCCCAAAAGAACACCTATCATCACAACCATCACTCACACGGTCCTTATAACCCTGGCGGGGACTGGAGGGCCCAGGAAAATTCAAAATCTGTACATCCGGTTCGGACAAGTCTGCAAGACGGTTGCCACTCTCAGGTGCGGTCGTCTCCGGCGGTTCTGGTTCAAGGTGTCCACAAAAGATCGCTTCGTCGGTCTTGGTAACATTCTCATATTCCACCATGTTCACCTCCTTGGACCCAGAGTTCGAAGTCTTGCCTTGATTTCGAGGACATTCGGGATCACGATGCCAATGGCCGATCTGGCCACACTTGGAACATTTTGATTTCGCCTTTGCTTCACTCAGCGTCATGCGGTAGTATCCACCCTTCACGTAGCCAGAAGTTCCCATAGAGCTCTGTGATCGTGTAGACGGGTTTCCACCACGATCCTTCCATTGGCCATACCCTCTCGCCAATGCCTTAGCCCGTTTGGTTTTCAGGCTCTGCATGAAGGTCTTCTTCTTGTGCGTGACCAGGGTGTTCAGGATCTCCTTGGCCTCGTGCTCTTCCAAAGTGTCCTCAAAGTCCTCGGGGTCGCCCTCCGACTCGTCGCCGCCTGGTTCTTCAGGATGTAGTTCCCGATAGATCTCCTCCATGGCTCGAAGTTCATCATCATCTTCGGGATCCAAGTTGGTGGCAAAGGTCTGGTAGACCTTGGAGTTACCCTTCTTGTCTGTGCCAACTTCTTTGGCCTGAAGTTTCATTTCATGTTTGCGGCGCCACTCCTTCACGTCTTTCACCAGGATGGAGCCACGGCTAAAAGCCATCAGAGCCTTTGTGTCGCTGTCGGTGATGCCCAGGGCGTTGATCAAGAGAAAACCCAAGTACTTGTCCGGGAGCGTCACCCGGTGTTCTCCGATCTTTCGCACTGCATCATCCCACCTGGTGAAAAACTGACGGCAAGGTTCGTCCCTGCCTCTCCTCAAGTGGTACGTCAACTTCGCCAGCGACGCCAGGAGCTCCTCCTCGGTGTCTTCCCCGAAAAATTCGGGTGTATCCATGGCCTCCAGTAGTCGATGTCCTCCGCGAGGATCCTTGAGCCACTCTCCATCCTTGGCCCAGTGCTTGAAGCTCTGAAAGGCTTGGCCACTCAGGCGTTGTAACATCAACGGGCCTTGGGTATGACCTTTAGCCCGAGTAGTTGCCAGCCAAAGTCTGGCCTTGATGACCCAGTCTTGGAAGTTGCTATTGCTATCCCATTCTGGTGGCAAACCTCCTCCAAGCCCTTTTGAGCTAGCACCCCGGTCCTCCTCGCTGTCCTCGTCCACACGCCGTATACGGCCCTCACGACGTTGTCGATCACTTCCGTTGCGGCGCCTGGCCGATCGCTCCTGGAGCCATTCTCTAAACTCTTCACTATCAAAACCGTCGGCCTCCTCGTCGGAACGTCCAACTTGGCCGGCTGCACCTTCACCGTGTCCATCATCATTAGGACCTTCACCACCACCATCCAAACTGCCATGACTAGACGGCACACGGGCAGTCATGGCAAAACACCTGGAGCTTAAGCTCCGCCTACCACTGTAAGCGCCAACATGACGCACAGCGCACAGACTCCCAAGGCCCGTAGTTCGAGCCACATGTCTCATGCAGCGACAGCTGCTCAGCTAAGCGCAGCGGCAAGTGATTCCAGCCGATGACCTGCCAGATTCACAATAATATATACATAATGTATCATAATGTTATATATAATTTTAACGTGATTTATTCACGTTTATTAAAGCAATGACAGCAGGGATTTGGAATGATTTGGATGGATTTGGGGATTTTTAGCATTGAAGTTTGAAATGTCACTGGTTACACCCATGGTTTTGTAAATTACATAGGGCTGGAAAAAAACTTTGTATAGTGGGAAGGTCATGAATAGATCTTCCACCAGTGGGGGATTGCACCACCTCTCTGAATTTGAGGAAGTTGGACGTCAGTTTCAGGAGAGGTTGGTTCAATTCCATGTTCTTCAGAATATAGATGTACTTTTTCACTGCACCAGTGGAAGTAATTATGGTTCATGTTCTTTTGATCAGTTTTAAGTGGGAGTACTTACTGTAAGTCATGTTCTCAGCAACATTGTGGTCAGCTGCAGGCCCCATCTCATTGCCTTTAGCCTGTGTGTATGCACGACGCAAGCATGTAAATTCTCTGGAACACGTTTATTGCGCCTGAATTCACTGTCATTTTGTAGGCACCGAACTGTTCTTCCTTTGGTCTTCAACAGAACCGGGCAGTCACTTGAGTGACCCAACTAAATGCGAACAGATTTCATGGTTTAAACATGACGAATGAGAAATTGGTTTTGTCTGCAATAAGACTTACAAGTGGCTTCACGTGAAAGATGTTCATTTCACACTGGAAGGTGAGTTCTGACTTCTGGGTGCTGTGCTGCTTGGGGCCAGCAGAGGGGAAAACTCAGACGTTCTTTTTTTGGGCAGCTTGGCTGCCAATCGATGTTCCCAGGATCAGTTGAACACACAGCGCGCAGAGCTCTCGGACTACTTCGCCAAGAGGTGCCGCAGACTGTGTTTGGTTCGACTGAACGGAGAACAGCTTCGCTTCCAGGTACTTGGCCGGCGAGCTCTACGATGGTAGCTGCTACTCCAACAGCTATGTAGGGGAACTCGGGACCTACAAATACAAAGCTTCAGATGGAGACGTGATGGTTTGGCGCCACGCCTTCGACCTACGGGCCTTCGGGGAGCAAGGCAAGGAGAACAGCAGCAGCACTTGTGAAATGAAAAGAAACCCTTACAAGGACCCAACCCTTTGTCATGTGCATCTGCGTATGCTTTGGAACCGAAGCACAGGCGAAGAAGTGCTCACGCTGTACCATTACACCGATGATCTGGCCTTCCGCAACGTCGGAAACTTGGAGCAGACGGCCGCGCAGCTCTTCGCATCGCTGAAAGACGAGCGCGCGCACTTCGGCAAGGGCCTGTATGCCACGCAGCACGAGCCTGCCGCTGCTCGGCTGAAATGTGATGGGGAACGAAGCCGTGTTGAATTGTGGAGTTGTTAAAGGTTTTGATTTTGGTTCTGCATGTGAACCATCGTTCTAAGACAGGTTTGGGCCTCACGTCTTCGGATCCTGCTGAACAACTACTCGAACGGAGACCCCTTCAGTCCCAAACTTAGAGTTGCAAGCGCCTAGCGCAATCAGTTTCTGTAGCAACTCAGCGGTTGAAGCATTCCGAGGCCCGACCCCAGAAGAGGCTCAAAAAAGGGATGCGGAGTGGGGCAACGGCAGAAAGTCTGGCCATCGAGCGGCATTTTGTATTCCTCTGATTGTCCCGCGCTCCATTGCCTACCACATCTTCGAAAGACACACGTGCCACGGCTGCCGATATGATATGTGAAAACTGATTTTTTCAGAGTGACAACGCGCAAGTTTGGAAGGATTTGTTTGCCTGTGGAGCGTCATGTAACTTAAATCAGTTGGAGCAAGACGCCTTTGGTCGGATGTGTACGTGCTTGCTGCTTGAGGCCAGACATGGCAGAGAAGACGGTGAAAGATTCAGCTGGCCAGGAGCGCCCCATCAAACTAGGCTCGAAGCTCGGGGTGAGCTTTTCCTTTTGACACTTTTGTCCGATGAATCGGTTCTGCCGTCTGTGCATGCCAGGGGAAGATTACCTGGGCCAACCGACACACCGAAACCGGGACGTGTGGGTCATCAGAGTGGAGACAGACTTTTGGGATGCAGACAGGAGTTGACACAGGTTGTGACGAGAGGTCATCTATGCATGACATAGTCAAGACTAGGTAAAGAATTTGTCCCTGACCTACTGGCAGATGTGAGAATCCCATAATCCATGTGCCCCACCGGGCCTCCCCACTAGTTGCACTTGATGGTTCACGTCTGTGGCCTTTGCGCGGTGCCGAGGATGGGAATGTGCAGGATGCAGCGGCCAATGCTGATGCCGTCCTGGACCTTCTGCAGCTTCGGCTGCGGAAGCTCCGCGCCAGCGCGGGCGAGGACGTGTTGATGGCAGACTGCATGTTCGAGCTGGCGCGGAGGCTGCACGGCCGCGCCCGGTATGGAGAAGCGGAAGAGCTGTACAGAGAGTGCCTGCGAATCTGCCTGGATCTCAGCTTCCCGGAGCTACAGTGCTACAGTCATAGTTTTGGTTTTGCGTCTTGTTTTCTTCAGGTTCCTCATGAAGGTAACTGGTGCCGTATTACTTCTCGGATGTTTTTGCATGTTTTTGCCATAAATCAAAGTCGAGCTCATGTGGCTTCCAAAGCAAGCCATGGCAAAGGCCTTGAAAACTCCAAAGTGCATTGATTTCTGTTTGATGACTTTTCATGATGCTGGAAGCAGATTGCTTTGATGGCGAAAGAGTCAGCAATGGTTCAGATAGAAACCAAATCGCTTGTGTTTGTGATTCAATTCGCTTAATTGCCATTGTTGGTTTCCAGTTGCGCCTTTTGCGCAGAGCAATCTGTGCAATCCGCCCGTGTTGCCGTGCTGAGGTCAGGCCAAACTGGGCGAAGACCACCCGAAGACTTTGGGCAGCCTTAACAATTTGGCTCTGCTCCTCCAAGCCCAGGGGCATCTGGCGGAGGCCGAGCCTCTTTACCGCGAGGCTCTAGAGAAGAGCCCGGGAGCTCAGCTTGAAAGATTTCAAAGAGACTTTGGGCAGTGGATCTGGGGTCACGGCTTGTTGAACTGTCGTTGGTTAATTCGGTTCCTCGGGGGTTAAGGTATGGGATATGATGTTGGCCAAAAGTTTCCAAAGTTGCGTTCATTTGGTTTCCAAAGCAAGCCATGGCAAAGGCCTTGAAAACTCCAAAGTTCATTGATTTCTGTTTGATGACTTTTCATGATGCTGGAAGCAGATTGCTTTGCTGGCGAAAGAGTCAGCAATGGTTCAGATAGAAACCAAAATCACTTGTGGTTTGCGATTCAATTCGCTTAATTGCCATGGTTGGTTTCCAGTTGCGCCTTTTGCGCAGATGCAATCTGTGCAATCCGCCCGTGTTGCCGTGCCGAGGTCAGGCCAAACTGGGCGAAGACCACCCAGACACTTTGACCTGCCGCAACAATTTGGCTCGGCTCCTCCAAGCCCAGGGGCACTTGGTGGAGGCCGAGCCTCTTTACCGCGAGGCTCTAGAGAAGTGCCCGGGAGCTCAGCTTCAAAGATTTCAAAGGGACTTTGGGCAGTTGATCTGGAGTCACACCTTATTGAACTTTCGTTGGTTGATTGGGTTCCTCCATGACAGGAACTGGCGCAGCAATACTCTTGGGATGTCTTTAGCATTTTTTGGCCAAAAGTTTCCAAAGTTGCGTTCATTTTGCTTCCAAACCAAGTCATGGCAAAGGCCTTGAAAACTCCAAAGTGCATTGATTTCTGTTTGATGATGCTGGAAGCAGATTTCTTTGATGGCGAAAGAGTCAGCAATGGTTCAGATAGAAACCAACTCCCTTGTGGCTTGCGATTCAATTCGCTTAATGGCCATTGTTGGTTTCCAGTTGCGCCTTTCGTGCGCAGATGCAATTTGTGCAATCCGCCCGTGTTGCCGTGCCGAGGTCAGGCCACACTGGGCGAAGACCACCCGCAGACTTTGACCTACCTTAACAATTTGGCTCTGCTCCTCAAGGCCCAGGGGCATTTGGCGAAGCCCGAGCCTCTTTTCCGAAAGGCTCTAGAGAAAAGCCCGGGAGCTCAGCTTGAAAGATTTCAAAGGGAGTTTGGGCAGTGGATCTGGGGTCACACCTTTTTGAACTTTCCTTGGTTGATTCGGTTCCTCGGGGGTTAAGGTATGGGATATGATGTTGGCCAAAAGTTTCCAAATGTTTCCAAAGTTGCGTTCATTTGGCTTCCAAACCAAGTCATGGCAAAGGCCTTGAAAACTCCAAAGTGCATTGATTTCTGTTTGATGATGCTGGAAGCAGATTGCTTTGATGGCGAAAGAGTCAGCAATGGTTCAGATAGAAACCAACTCCCTTAAGGCTTGCGATTCAATTCGCTTAATGGCCATTGTTGGTTTCCAGTTGCGCCTTTCGTGCGCAGATGCAATCTGTGCAATCCGCCCGTGTTGCCGTGCCGAGGTCAGGCCAAACTGGGCGAAGACCACCCGCAGACTTTGACCTACCTTAACAATTTGGCTCTGCTCCTCAAGGCCCAGGGGCATTTGGCGAAGGCCGAGCCTCTTTACCGCGAGGCTCTAGAGAAGAGCCCGGGAGCTCAGCTTGAAAGATTTCAAAGGGACTTTGGGCAGTGCATGGGGTCACACTTTATTGAACTTTCGTTGGTTGATTAGGTCCTCCATGACAGGAACTGATGCAGCAATATCTGCAGCAATACTCTTAAGATGTTTTTGGATGCCCCACCACCGTGAGTTGAAGGAAGATTTTTTTTGAAGAATTTTGGAATAAAATGCTTTGGGTCCGGGACTCACCTGTGGCATACTTTTCCATGTTTTGTGACCGCTGCTTGCGACATACTTTGACACTCCTGAGACGTCAGAGACCCTCGGAATTTCAGGGGTTGCCAGGGCCGAGCACTGATGGAATTGATGCACGCAACGTCGCACCCGACGTTTTGCACTTTTTCACATTTTTCCTTACATTTTCTTAAAGCTTGGAAAGCATCAAGTAGACTTTCAAATGCTTTATCTGTACAAGTTGCCAACTTTCAAGTTTTTTTCAGGTGCTTGCGAGAAATTATTCCAGCAGCTAAACCAGCCCTTAGGACAATCTATTGTTTGAACTGGAAGGTCTCCGGAAGAATCACATATTCGTTGTACGTGTTATTTTTGGAGGTCTTGACCCTGGGGGTTAAGGTATGGGATATATTTTGAGGCAAAAGTTTCCAAAGTTGCGTTCATTTCATTTCCAAAGCACGTAATGGCAAACGCCTTGAAAACTCCAAAGTGCATTGATTTCTGCTTGATGATGCTGGAAGCAGATTGCTTTGATGGCGAAAGAGTCAGCAATGGTTCAGATAGAAACCAACTCCCTTGTGGCTTGCGATTCAATTCGCTTAATGGCCATTGTTGGTTTCCAGTTGCGCCTTTCGTGCGCAGATGCAATCTGTGCAATCCGCCCGTGTTGCCGTGCCGAGGTCAGGCCAAACTGGGCAAAGACCACCCGCAGACTTTGACCTACCTTAACAATTTGGCTCTGCTCCTCAAGGCCCAGGGGCATTTGGCGAAGGCCGAGCCTCTTTACCGCGAGGCTCTAGAGAAGAGCCCGGGAGCTCAGCTTGAAAGATTTCAAAGGGACTTTGGGCAGTGGATCTGGAATCAATTTATTAGGTTAATTTCAGGTTTTGGTTTTGCTGCTTGTTTTCTCCAAGTTTCTCATGACAGGAACTGGTGCAGTGTGATTTTTAGCTTGTCCAATTTTCAATTCCCAATTGTTTTTGCAGAACATTGGCAGATTTGTTGATGCATGTTGATGTTTTCACATGAACCCTATCTATACCAATTTATTTCACGAGATTGTTTGGGACACAGATTGCAAGCAAGAGAGTCAGACACAGTGCAGCCCAAGAATGTCAGAAAGTCTGTGAGCAAGTATTTCTGTTTTGATGATATTGACAGACACAGATTGCATTGCTGTCAAGAAAGTTCACGGTTTCTAGTTGCTAAATGTTGCTAGCTAACAGTGTGTCTCTAACCTCCGGCGTAAAGAAGGAGAAATACAACGTAACATGAGCAATGAATTCTGTTTGGCGAAGGGCCAGCAGCAGAGTTGCAGCCCGGAGCTTTCAGAAAAAGTCTGTGATTCCGTTTTTCTTTGAGACTTGGCTTGCAGGGCGCCTCAAGCTGGGGAACCAACACCCGCATACCATGGGGAGCATCTACAACTTGGCCGTCCTGTTGAAGTCCATGGACAAGTTCGAAGAGGCCGAAGAACTCTTCCGCGAGCACCTCGCGGCCTGCAACTCTCCCAGCATGTTGAGCATGTCTTTTTCATCTTCCCAACCATGTGAAATTAATCCGAGGTGGTACTAGGTGTCAGGAATAATTTTACCAGAATATTTTTTTTAATAAGGTACTATGTGTAAGAACCATACATATTTCAGGAATAATTTTTAACATGGCTGGTCGAATAGCAGTTGTACTTATCGTGGAATAATTTTGTATGATTTTCTCATATTTTGTCATTGTCGCTTGGATGACAGCGCGTCCGACCGCAGATTTTGCTCATCCAATTTTCCATTTGAACATTTGCTCTGAAAATGGCCTTTCCTGCGCTGCCTGCTGACTATCCGCAAGAATGCGGTATCAATGGCCGCAACTCTTTTGCATTTTTTTGCACTAACAGTTCTTGCCAATGCTACTAGTGATGAGTCATGGATAATAAATGGTAATAATATATAATAATGATGAGATTGTGAATGATTTCATGTGCGTTTTCTTTGAACACACTACAGGTATGGCAAGGACGACAAGTCCCATTTGGAATGCTATGTATGGATACTGGGTTTGCACTTGTGTTCCTCGGCTAATTTGTCCATTTTGACAACATGCAAAGTATTGCAAATTGACGCAAATTGATGCAAAGTGCATCGAATTGCTTTCAAATGGATCAAATTGAGGACAAAGATGAAGTCATGGTATCTGGGTACCGCAGGAGAAGTCACCACGTGTGCGTTTTGTCGCTCGGTGAAAATGTCGATGCTGTACTCATGTTTGGATGTCTATGATTTGATTTGATTGCCATGTTTGATATCTTTTTGATCCTATTTGATCCTTGTTGACCTTGTGTGATGCTAGTGGAAGCTATTTGCATCTATTTGTGGTTCCGTTTCATATTATTGGTGATGTGATTTATGTGCAGTTCTGGTTAGTATTTGATATTATATAGTATATTATTATGATGTATTTTCAATTATTTTCATCTATTTTTGATTGTTTGAAGGTGTTTGTTACTGCTTTTTGATATGAATTTGTGTGAATTTGTTATAATCTTGATCAGATGCCTTTGATGATTTTGGCTCAACATCGGTGTTTTTAATGGTGCTTTTAATTTGGGATGCATTGCAGACTCTTATAGATTTTTTATGATTTTTTCACCCTAGTAGTGCCTCTTGTTTCCTGCACTGTTCCAGGCATCCAACCTTTGGATGGGTTTGGTCCACATCACTCTTCAAGATATGCAAAACATGGAGAGATGCAGAATCAGCAGCAGCGATACTGCCGCTGCCAGCCACTTTGCTGAACAATATTGAACAATAAGAGATGCTGATTGTAAATGGATGCAAAAAGATGCAAAAAGCATCAAAAAGCATCAAAACGCAGTAATTGGCAGTTTTTTTTTTAGAACCAGTGTTTGTCATTTGAGCTGCGTCTTTTTTTTGAAAACGGGCTCCTCCGCATAGGTTGCCTTTGCCGTGCATGTACGCCTCATGTAGACTTTGCGTAGCCTTGCCGAGGTTAAAATAGATTCAAAGGCTAAGCAATCACAAAAACAGACAGCTAACTTGCTGCAGATTTTGAATGGTTTTGCAATGTTTTGCCATTTAACCCATGTAGACAGAGCAAGGCACCTGACGCTCCAGATGAAGATGGTACCGAACCACTACCGCTTCAAGATCAGGATGACTCTGGGCTTCTATTTGGCGTGATTGGTTCAAATGTACTATTCAGCACATTTGCAACTAATTTGAACTAATTTGAAATAGTTTGATCATTTGGCATCATTGCTTTTGATTGTTGGACTGTCAGAACAAGATAAAGCATTGAACAAAAAGTCACGACTGAGAATGGGTACAATGGGTATGGCAATGGGAATGGAGGATTTATCATCGCTTATCCACATTTGATCATATTTCCACATTTTTTTAGTTTTCCATAGTAGCTTAATAGCATTTAATAGCAGACTCTATTTGCAGGTATTTGCTTCTAGTTCCATCGATGTTTTTGTATGAGGGACCCACTGAATTCTATCTTGATTCATGGGGACATAGCAAGGCAAGTGAAGCTCCAGCAAGTGCGCTTTCTGCTCCTACAGAACCATCGCCTGCTCACACACTTCCAGAGTCTTGGCATATTCTATCATATTCTAGTTGGTCAGTGATGGCAAACAAAACAATAAGGATACTGAGACAAACATGCACAAAAATCTGCACTAAGAATGGGATAGTTTCCAAATATTTTAGATAATAATAATCATCAATCCATCATTATGGATAGTAACAATGGAAGCCAGATTTGAAGGTGTTCATATTGGTGCTTATTTGTGTCTATTTGTGCCTATTGGCCTTTCTTACAGTTAACATAAACATGGATGCTGACCGAAATAAGGCAACTGAAACTCCAGAATGTTCTCCTGGTGTTGCTTCAGACACATCACATTCGAACCAACATCCTGAATCTTGGGGCTTGATGGATGCCCACGCAATGCTGCAGGAGAAGAGCGCAGTGGTAGCCACAGGAGCAATCCACCAAACTGGCGTGGAGTGCCTCTGACTATTTCTAGATATTTGTGTCATGAATAGTTTTTGTTCTTTCACTAATGGTCACTATTACGATCTATTTGTACCTACTTCAATACTACTTTCTTATATATACATGAGAATCATTAAGAATCATTCAATCCCAAAATAGCAAACCAAGCTAGATCACATGGTGTCATATTTAATTATATGTGCATCAAGGTGCACCTATTTGCCATTAGTTCTTTATATTTCCTGCCTGAACTCAGGTATCATCAGAAGTGGGATCTTGCAGGCATTGACCAAAACAGTCCTGTCTCTACTGGTGTGGCAGCCAGCCAAGTGAAAAATATTGAACAAGGGTTGTCATGAGGACTTGTTTTATGGTGATATGATATGATAAGCGCATAATGTATTGCAACGCTTGTAGTAGTTTAAGCAAAAAGAAAACTACATGACATCAACTGAAATGAAATGCAAATACCTACCAATCAATACAAATAATATATAATAAACCTACAGAAGTTACAGAAGGTCAGATTCTAGCAGTTTATTTATGTTTATTTCGCTTGGTGCTGGCACGGCTGTGGCTTTGCAATGTTTGTTTATATTTTGATTTTTGTGAACCAGAGATTCTTATGATTCCTTTTCTTTTTAAGCTGTTTGATTTGATTTGCCATGTGTTCCTTGTTGGAGACACGCAAACATGCATCAGACCTGGCCCGCCACGCGGCTTTTCAACTGTCGTTGAAACCATTTGATATATCAACCATGTACGATGTGCTTGCATACTTTGCTTCTCACACACTTACTAGATCTTACTAGTATGGAACAGTATTCATGATTATTTGATTTACAGATGTATGTATCTATATAATATTGCTAGCGTACATATATTATATGGTTATTACATCTGATTGTCTTTGGCAAAGTATCAAGCATGCGAGGATTTTGCGGTGCAGTGAACTGGGCTGTTAGTGTGTGTAATTCTTTATTTATCTATTCCCATCTATTTTCAGAAAGTCCGGCCTGTGACAGCCTGTTCTGCAGTGATGCCGACCATTTCGCGTCATACAAGTGTTCTAGTATGACTGTGGAGCCAGCGATGCACAGCAAAAAGAATAGACAAGATATGACAAGATTTAGACCCACTTATGGACTCATGGATTTCAATCAACCTCTTCGTTTTCCCTTTTTTCCATTTTTTCCAGTATATAGTCGTGATTGATCGTGATTGGTACTTTTGCTTCCATGATGGCTCAACTCACCGCCGCAGACTTTGAGACATCCAAGTTCCATTTTATCAGTCTGACTTTCCATGGCGAATTCAGAGCCACCGGATGTGTATCCACAGAATTGTGGAATCCATGGCTGCAACTCTTTTGCACTAAGAGTATGTTGTTATCGCTTTTACGTGTGTTTGCATTGGTTTGTGTTTTGGGATACTTATAACCTTTTAATACCTTTTAACACTGTTTGTAGCAAAGGATCACAAGCAATCCAACAGGTACTTCTGAAAGCTAGTAAAGGTTAATAAGGGTTAATAAGAATTGCAGTGTTGTTCCGTATGTATAGATTGCGAATCATTGTGAGAAGCAAATACATGGACAGCGCATGATGTTTATGATTTTCTTTTTTGAAAATTCAGGTCTGTCCCATATGTCTCAGCCGAAGTGGAATGATGTGTATGGATACTGGATTTGCACTTGTGTCCCTTGGCTGATTTGATAATAGCAACTTTCACATTGTCACATTGATACAAATGGTAGCAAAGTCTTTCAAAGTGAATCAAATTGCACGAAAATGAGGACAAAGAGTCGTTTACGGCACATGGTTACCGCAGGGGCAGTAACCACGTATCCATTTTGTGGCTTGGTCAAAATGTGCATGCTTTACTGGTCACGGACTTATGTGCAGTTCTGGTTAGTAGTTGATGTTATTTGCCTTTATTTAATTTTATTTATATATCTGAGCTATCCATGGTGAGCAGATATGTTTCTGATATATGTTCATTTTTTTCATCATTTTCATATATTTTTGATTGTTTCAATGTGTTTGCTATAATTTTAATCAGATGCTTTTGGTGATTTTGGCTCAACATCCGTGTCTTAGATTTAAATCATTGGATTTGTTGCAGAGTCTTAGAGATTTTTTTCACTCCAGTAGTGCCTGGTGTTTCCTGCACTGTTCCAGGCATCCAACATTGGGCTGGGTTTGGTCCACAGCAGTCTCAAAGACATGCAAAAAGTGGAAAGACGAAGAATCAGCAGAGCCGCTCGTGCCGCTTCCAGCAACTTTGCTGAACAATATTGAACAATAGGAGATGCTGATTCTAAATGGAACGTTTTGCCATGTTTTGCCATTTGACCCATGTAGACAGAGCAAGGCACCTGACGCTCCAGATGAAGATGGTACCGAACCACTACCACTTCAAGATCAGCATGACTCTGGGCTTCTATTTGGCGTGATGGGTTCAAATGTACTATTCAGCAAATTTGCAACTAATTTGAACTAATTTGAACTAGTTTGATCATTTGGCATCATTGCTTTTGATTGTTGGACTGTCAGAACAAGATAAAGCATTGAACAAAAAGTCACGACTGAGAATGGGTACAATGTGTATGGCAATGGGAATGGAGGATTTATCATCGCTTATCCACATTTGATCATATTTCCACATTTTTTTTAGTTTTCCATAGTAGCTTAATAGCATTTAATAGTAGACTCTATTTGCAGGTATTGGCTTCTAGTTCCATCGATGTTTTGTATGAGGGATCAACTGAATTCTATCTTGATTCATGGGGACAGAGCAAGGCAAGTGAAGCTCCAGCAAGTGCGCTTTCTGCTCCTACAGAACCATCGCCTGCTCACACACTTCCAGAGTCTTGGCATATTCTAGTTGGTCAGTGATGGCAAACAAAACAATAAGGATATGTATTATTTTCGATTATTTCTCATCTTTTCTCACGAACATGTTCAAAAAAAAACTAAACATATATGTGGAAGCCAGCTTTGAAGGTGGTCATATTGGTGCTTATTTGGGTCTATTTGCCCCCATTGGCCTTTCTTACAGCTAACATTAAGATGGATGCTGACCGAAACAAGGCAACTGAAACTCCAGCATGTTCTCCTGGTGTTGCTGCAGAAGCATCACATTCGAACCAACATTCTGAATCTTGGCATTTAATTGTTGGTTAGTCATGTGTGACGACATATGATGACCATAGAATGACAAACAAGCATGAACTCTGAGCGACATGTTTTGCAAAACTTTATATCTTGTCTTTTGTCCTATTCCTTACTTTTGTACTAGTACACCACAGTACAGTATCATTCAAACTACTCAGCACTGTCTATACCTGCCATTGCAGTAAGATACAAATGCAGGTATATTTGAAGTAATTGGGGCATATTTGCATGTTTTTTTGGTACCATTCATTTTGATGCTGACAGCAACCAGGCAAGTGCAGCTCCTGCATGTGCTCCTGCTGTTGCTGCAGAAGCTCCATGTATGCACCAACATCCTGAATCTTGGCATTTAATATTTCAGTGCTAATGAGTGACAAAATATGACAAAATAATGAGCATAGTATGACAAATAAGTATGAACTCAGAATGGAATAGTTAACAACACTTGACATAAATTTACAAGTATGATATATGGACATGATTCTAGAATATTCTTATATAGACAGCTGTTTGCAGGTATTTGCAGCTATTTGCGTGTTGCTTTATAAGGCGAGTGAAGCTTTGATGTACTCTGAATAGATTCAACATGATTTACACATATTGTTATCAGATATTATTTGTGTATGTTTGCATTTTTTATATTTGAACACTGTGCACATAAGCAATCATAAGTACATAAAAGTGTTTCAATGCTTTCAGAATCCTGCAGCTTTATCACGTGATGTGGACTTGACTCATGATATAAAGTGACATGGCTTTGAAAATTATAACACAGTCAGCTGTATGTAGGACAATGTTCCTTCCTTTCTGAGGATACACAGGCAGCTACACCAGCAAAGCATTTTCCTCGCGTTTCTTGGGTGAAAAATAAATTACTTTACTTCGTGTGATCCCCACCATGACATTTATACATGTTCTTACTGGCACATCTTCTGGCATTCTATCTGACATATCTTCTGACATTCTATTTGGCATTCTATCTGGCATATCTTCTGGCATATCTTCTGGCATTCTATCTGGCATATCTTCTGCATTCTATCTGGCATTCTATCTGGCATATCTTCTGGCATATCTTCTGGCATTCTATCTGGCAAATCTTCTGGCATTCTATCTGGCATATCTTCTGGCATATATTCTGGCATATCTTCTGGCATTCTATCTGGCAAATCTTCTGGCATTCTATCTGGATTCTTCTAAATATCTTCTGGCATATCTATCTGGCAAATCTTCTGGCATATTTTCGGCATTCTACCTGGCAAATCTCTCTAGGACTCTCTAATGACACAGTTTATCTGCCTATGTGAGGTCCGGCAGGGAACACTGGGCGGGGATGGTCGTGGTTGAGGTCCGGCAGGGAACACTGGGCGTGGATACTCGCGGTTGAGGTCCGGCAGGGAACACTGGGCGGGATGGTCGTGGTTGAGGTCCGGCAGGGCACACTGGCGTGGATGGTCGTGGTTGAGGTCCGGCAGGGAACACTGGGCGTGGATGGTCGTGGTTGAGGTCCGGCAGGGAACACTGGGCGTGGATGTCGTGGTTGAGGTCCGGCAGGGAACACTGGGCGTGGATGGTCGTGGTTGAGGTCCGGCAGGGAACACTGGGCGTGGATGGTCGTGGTTGAGGTCCGACAGAGAACACTGTGGATCGCGAGTCGCAGTTGAGCAGGAGGACGAGGAGGACAACGAGAGGAGGAGGACAACGAGAGGAGGAGGAGAGGAGGAGGCAGGAGGAGGAGGCAGGAGGAGGACCAGGCAACTTAGATAAAATCTAACAACCCTCACCTGGCAGGTGGGGAACCAACCATTCCAACTGTTTTCATGTGAAACCTACTGTCTGTCAAGGAGCAATGGGAGAGTTGTTTTTCATTGTTTTCTTTATTCACGTCTTGCTTCACAGGCTATGAATCGTTCTGTTGCTGAATTCTTTGCAAGAAACGAACTTGCGGAAGTTCTCAGCGCACCGCATGCAGTTGCTGGGCGAAAATGAAATCAAACAAATCGAACCAGCGTATGTTGAATGAATTTGTTTATTAGAGTCAAGTAATAAGTAAAAGTATTTGATATATTATACATTATATATGCAAATAATTGCATATATATATAATTATATATATATATAAAAATAATAGTTTATAATTATAATAAATATTAATACATTATATATGTTATTATATATGTTTTATTTTTTGTGTTTCGCAAAGATTATGGAAATATAATGCATACAAGGCATCCAAGTTTCTGTTGAAATATACATATTACATCACATCATATTAATTGATATTACATCCAACAGAGTAAACAATTAGTTACATTGCAGGTTTGTGGCCGAGCACTGCACCGAGGTATTTGCAGACGACGAAGAGCTGCCACATCATGCGGCTGCAAAGACATTTTACATTGATTTTACATGCTTTCATGGGAGGATCAGAGACTTGTCTTATAACTTCTGGGGGGATTGCAGTGTCCTCATAACATATCATGTAATTATATGTAATTCATTGTAGATCCTACCCTCCTTTGATATTATATGTATGATTTAAATGGTTTATATATGCATATACAGTGGTAATCAATATTATATGAATATAATTTTAGTAATGTATAGATTTAATGTATTTTAACATTAATTAACTATAGTTATGTCATGTGATGTCTATAGAGTAAATATGGAGCCAGTATTATAAACATATATTATTATATATTATGATCAGTGTAAACATCCACACTGTAGTATGTTAGAAGTAGTTATTAACTATATTGAATTATTATGAACCGCTACTCCATACTATTTGCATATAGTTGCCTTTTCATCTGAATAGCGTTTGCCATTTTCCTCCAAGGAAACCGCATTGGAGGATGTTCTTCATGGAACTCTCCGCCTTCATTCAGTACATCATGGCTAACAAGGATTTCGTTTGAATCAATTTGCAATTATTTGCACAGGCTTGTTTCCATCTTGAATGGTATGGACACATTTTCCAAGATGCTTTTGCTTTGCGGGCAGTATCACAATCGCACCACCTCGTGTGCCTTGAATCATACCGAGAAGTTTGCGCACTGTCCGCAGGACTTCTGCAGAAATATCAGTAGCTATTCTAACCAATCAAAGATGGTTCCTTTTTCTCACTACCAGCATGAAAGGGTATGCATAGGAATGCATTTTTCCTCCTGGATCTTCTTCAGGACTGGTGGGGATTTTTGATGGATCAGCGTGAGAAGCAGCACCTGTTCTACTTTCATGCAATTTTGATGTATGCGGGCGTGCGTGGTGGATGCATCCATCCAGAGTCTGACTTGCTTGCCTCATATGCTGCTTGCATTGCAATAGCTGTATGTCATGGCAGCGTGACCTTGTTTAAAGTTCCTGCTGTTATTTATGTGTGATTGTTTTTGTGTTGTTGCCAAGCATTGTGCAAACTCCTATCGTGCAAGGACCTGGCATCTTTTGTGCGCAGCTATGAGGAGGATTTAGTCAGAGCATGGCCCCGGCAGGAATTCATTCATGGTATCTTGTCATAAAGTGATGGCTGATCATTCTCCATAGATGTGAGGTAGGTGTAATTTGTTGTGAATATTTGTGAATTGGCAGACATGTGCAAGTACAAATGTTATATATTCTTATATGATTTGTGGTTTTAAGTATTACATTATATGATTATGATTTCAGATTATTCAAATATTTTTTATTATGTTTTCAGTTGTTTTCATATCAAACCAACCTGTGCAGGTCGCTTGACGGGCTATCACCATTTTGTCCATGCAGCTATCTCTTTGGCGCGTAAATATTTTGGCGACAAGTGGCCAGCGACTATTATGTTCCAGGAATCCTGGCCAATGGAATGGCTATTGGCTGGTATTGGCTGGTATTTGTATCAATTTGTATCAACAATCAGAATTTGCTTCCTAAGTGCAAGTGTTGTTGCTGGTTTTTTTTGACATTTGTGGTTGCTAGTTTTTTCCATAGTTTTCCTTTGTTTGGTTCTACCTGAGGACTACCAAGTTGTGGGGGTGCGGAAAGAGAACACATGGCTTCATCATGGGGTGCCAGAGATCATGGCATGGCTTCTGCACCTGGGCAGCTTTGGGTGTGAGCACTGCAAACTATTGAAAACTAATGAACTACATATATCCCGAAATTACAGGCAATCATTAGATTTGATGTCTAAAGAAACACAATTTAAGCAGCAGCAAATAACAAGGAACAAGAATGAATATTTCAGTTTGCGTATACATTGTTGGTTATTGTACACATGGAATTAAGGCACAATGAATAGCACCAAGCTTTGCTGATCATGCGAGCACGGGAGTGGAATCCACTTGTTTTCGATGGACTTGGCAACAATCCGCATGCCTCCATTCTGGATTGTGCAAAAGCTTTGTGTTGCACTATGGCAGAATTTCTTTGGCCTGATTCATCGCTACTTGGACTGCGACATATATTGAAAAGTTCTCAATATCATTTCAATTAATATATTTCATTATTGTTATTAGTTCTTATTATTTGTAATTATGGTTTTGTATGTTATGTCTGGGTCATTAGAATAATTGATATAACTAATAATACATAGTTAGAAGCCAGCGCAGTATAGATAGATCTGCAGTTGGAAATTGCAGTTGAATTATTTACTATTCACAGTTTTCAATCAATCCCTGCAAGGAAAGTTTTGGAGCCAACTGTGTGCCAAGTGAGTCAGCAGAAGGATGCTTGGTCATGTGGCCATCGTGTGATTCTGATCTTGCGTCACCTACTCCAGGCGGTTATTTTTTTCAATTTTACCATTTTTTAGTTGAGTTTACTATTTGTAGCTATTGTTTAGTATTTGTATGTATTTTGCATTATTTGTTGAAATTAGTTGCCATTGTTTGTAGCTAGGTGTTATTGTGGAGTAACTAACAGTAATATCATATTACATGGATTCAATATATAATATATCAAATCTATCTCATATGTGCATAGGTTAATAAGTGGTACTTGGTGTTAATAGAGTCCAATGATTATGGTTTGTTGATGATTGTGTCGTAGCTGCAGCTTAAGAAATTGTCATTTTTCATTCTCCCATTCTTCAGGTGGTATCATCGCCTACGTGGTCCAGAGACAGCAAACTTGCGAACATCAAGATTCCCAAGGAAGCAGTGGGACCTTTCGCGTTGAAAGCATTGTGCCAGGGCGGAGTCGATTCACTGGATATATTGGATAAACCATCTCATGATAGCAGCAGTGGTGCTGGGATATCTGGACAGCAGACAGAGCAAAATCCTGCAGAAGTGAGGACCATCAGGATCCAGCGAGAACCTGAAGATGCTGAAGCTGCCAAGGCCCACCAGAAACGCAGGATATCTGACTCCAGTAGCTCCAAGGGAGAACCGGATACTAGCCAGGATGACCCTCCAAGCCAGAAAAAGAAAAAGAGGCGAGTCAATCAGGAGGAGGAATTTGCAAAGTCGATCCTGCGGCAGAAAGGCTTGGACTTCAACAATCATTTCCAGGGTGAGCACAAAGGATCTGGGCATGGCTCTGAGCATTGGAAGCTCTTTTTGAAAGGTGTCGCAGGACAAGCTGATATCACATGTAGCATTTGCCAGAGACTGATCACGTCCTTTGGAATCAACACTTCCGCTGAAACTCCCACCAATGTACCGGAAGCTCCCAGTGAGACCGCACTGACAGCTTTACAAGACCAAGCCAGTGCTTCACAAGATCCGGCAGCTTTGCAGAGTCTTGCTGTTGTGCAGCTCTCTGAATCTCCACCAAAGAAGCGAAGTAGGGTAGGCCGTCCCCGCAAGATTGAGCAGGACGTGGATCAATTCAACCTTGTTGAATATCTTCAGCAGAAACGACCAGGCAAGTATAGTTAAGTATAGATTCTTGGATGAAGAGGAAGCAAAACAGAGAATGCCTCCTAATCGAGCTTGTTCCAAGGAAGCTGTGAGCCTTGAGCTCAAGAAACACCCAGCTCAGTGTATGCTTTGTGGGATTTATCTGCACTTTCCGTATCTTACGAACGACTTGGCGCTGATACTTGTTTATGTTTGAATCTGCTGTTTGTTCCTATTTGTTCCTGTTTGCAACTATTGGCAGCACATACCTGATTTCTTTTTTGTATATATGTAATTATATATATAAGATTAGAAAAGGCATTTACTATCATTGAATATTATTGATGAATATTGAAGATATAATAGTAATGATTTCTCGTGATTCATTTTACAAATACATTATTTTTTAAAATAATTTTACGCTATTTTACATTTATTTTTATGTGGTTTGCAATGACTGGTTTTCAGTTTTTTTTTACAGAAAACGATGCCCAGGAAACGACATGAGAGCAGTGGCATGCACCAAGCAGCGCTATCAGTGGCTGAAGCTAGCATGAAAGCATCCCCTGCGCGTTGCAATGGATTGATACTCACAGAGGAGCCAGGGAAGAACACTCTCATGGGAACCAAGGTGGAGATCTTGGAGAAATGGTGGTATACTGGATGTATTATGTACAACCAGTCTCCATTGCAAGCTATTGTCTTGGAATCTGGAAATATGTATTTGGGATGTTTTGGGCACTTTTTGGTTTCAATACGATGTTTTCTCTAAATGCATGTTAGGGTTCCGTATGAAGTGACTAATTGAAGTAAACTATTGTAAATACGTGTAAATACCAAAGTCATGCTTATTTCAAATATTTTAAATAATGATATTTCATACATATCCAGTGATTATAACATCATCAAGACTCTAGAGGGATTACAAACTAATATAAACTAAATACTAGAATTATGATGAATTAGATACTATGACAATTATACTTCTTAAAGACAAACAATTGCAAAATTACAAATACAACTACAATAAATATCAATAAGTATCAATAAATAGCAAATAATATCAAAACATATCAATATAAAATATCAGTCAATATCAAATAATTTCAAATACATAGACTCAGAGAACATGGTATATCAAAGTCTGAATCAAAGTACCACACCTGGGATAGTATTTGATAGTAGTAGTCTTTTGTCTTCTCCTCGCTCAAGCAATGAGAAAATGCCGAAGCTTGGGCAGTTGAAGGTGCAGCATCAAGATTGCGTCAAGAATGCAGATTCTCGTACTTCAACATCTTTGAACTGCTGCAATCTATGCAAGATGGTGGCTGAGAAGCGGAAGAATCTCGGAAGATATTTGGAACATCAGACTAGGAAACCAAAGACACATCACACACATACAGAAATAGATAGAAATAGTGTATGTAATGGTAGTTACATGTATATATGTTATTTTATTTGCATTTATTGTATGGTATTTGATGATATTGATGTTTGCAGTCAGAATTGTTTGATCATGTTTTTTTGTTTTATGATTTTTTTTATGCATTTTTTGTTTGATTGTTTGTATTTGAAATTATTGTCGCATATATTCATTTATTGTCATTTATGACTGACTAGTGTAATATCATGGGAAAAATAATGTAATATATGTTTGATAACTAGTATGGTTTAATATTGTTTAAACAAGGTCACCGGAAATTGTAAATATCCATTAAAAGTATCAAGGTAATCGATGGTACTCAATGGTAGTCCTTCTAAAAACATTTCAAAAAAATCAAACGCATTTAACAGCTAAGGTACATGGAGCTCATTGAGACCTGGGCTGAGCGTAGTTTCTGGATCGATCTTGTCCATGCAACTTTGCAAGGGAATGCATGCAGCCAGTTGCAGATAGCTTCCAAGATGGTGTCTCTCTTTCCAATCCTGGACAAGAATGAGCTTGAGAAGATATCCTACAGCGACGCATTGAGACATTGCAAGAACTTTTTCCTGAATGTGCCCCGGAAGTCTATGTGCCCAGCTCTTTTGCGCTTCTTGGAGTTGAACCTCAATTATTTGACGCCGGGCGTGGTCCTTGGCATTGGAGACTTGGATGTGTGCTAAACAACAAGGTCATGTTTGTCGTTGTTTAGTATGGTAGCATATGTTAGCTAAACAGTTATTAAGAAAATATGTATATATATAATGTTGTAATATAACAAAATATCCACTAGTATTATGTGATATTCATTGATATTATATATATTATATTACTGTATATTTTTTTAATTTTATCATAGATATGTAAACAAGCTACATCAAACATGTCAATGGACATTATATACAAATATTTCTTGTGCTCAACACTGCTCAGCCAGTCGGAGAAAGAGCAGGTTCGTGCATATGTGGAGGCTGTTGCAAACGGTGATTTGACACACACCGAGCTCCGTGTCACGGATCCTTGCAAACATTTTCTTCCAGTAGAGTTTCGTTATCTGCCTTTCCTCCTTTTTTCATGGATAACGTAATACAATGTAATAGATAATAGATATGTACAAACGAGTACAACCTAATAGCAGCTAATAGCGCATGGTGAATATTATCTCTTCAGCCAGTAACCTTAGTATATAAATGATTCAAATAAAAATATATGGACATTCAAGAAACATGAAACATAATCAGGAACTGGTGGCGCAGGGCCGGCTACGAGCAGATCAGATTACGCGGTTGCTGGTCCCCGCTCTCTTGGACAAGAGTGACAAGCTGGCTCGTGGCAAGGTGCGTCGCACTGGAAATGCAGCACTTTGTGAAGCTGGTGTTCAGGAGAAGGGTCAAGCCAATAGACAGGTATAGAAAAGTAAAAGTAATCGCTAAAAACTTACCAAAAAACAAAACATACAAAAACCATCAAAACCAGTGTTGGTTCAAGGTCACTTAATTGCATGTTTCTCACTTGACATTATTTTACCATATCTTTGTTTATTTGTTAAAAAAAAACAAATTGCTTGATTTTACCGTCATAGGGCACAGACTCAACCAAACCTTGTCAGGAACTGGGATTTCTCCTTGGACAAAGTGTCTTGGTTAATTTTGTAAAATTTGATTTGGAGGTCACAGCAATAATCTTATATAATCTTGAAGAATCTATTATCATATATTATAGTCTTATACACATCTATTATACATTATTTTAATGTATTTTCAAATCTTTTTGATTATTGATTTTAGTGCTGTATATGAGTTGTTCATAATTTGTTTTTAATGAGTGTTCTGTGATTTCGCCAGATGTGATGCTTATTTGTTGTTATTGCCTGTTAAGTATACTTTTTAGATGTTTATGATTGTTTATGGAACTAATGAGTTTTTTCTTTGTGTGGGCGGAAAGGGTAGTGAGGCTTGAACAACCCAGAAGTTCAGCGCGCATTTGGGATAGCCCGAAGTGCAGTGAAAAGGCAAGTCTCTTTCGATGAGCCAGGGCTCCCGAATTTTTACTGTTCTGAAGGAGACCAGCTGGTTGAGGCAATCAAAAACGCGATTGACTGCCTGCAGAATGTGGAAGGTAGCCGTTCATTCATGTTGATCCGTGATGAAACAGTGTACAGCAAGTCCTTCAACATGCTGTATGGACTCAGCGAGGACATGCCTTGCGTGGTGGGAGGTGTCCATCCCAGTCACTCCAAACTGTTCATTGATGAAAACAAGGGCATTACCCTGGAAAAAAAATGTTTCTACGGCTGTAACAAGGAAAGATTTTGAATATGTCAATTCGGTTTGTTATGGTTTGTTATTGTCGTTCTTGTTGTTTGTTGGTTGGTGTGGTTCTATGCGGTTTTTAATTATTTTGTACTATTCTTGTTTTTTGTCACCAATCCTTTGTTTATATTTTTTTAGGTTTATTTAGGATTATTTAATATTATTTAAGTCTAATAGTCAGTGCATATATTATCATAAATTTATTCACTATGTTATAAGATGTTATAAGTGGACATGCGTTTATGTCCTGGTTTTCTGAGGTTGGCCCCAGTGAGCATTTCCACAGTGATCAAGCCAATCAATCGACGCACAGATGTCTTCCAGATACAACAGATACCACGAGATCGCCGGTACACAGCAACCTCTGAGTTCCAGGACATGGCGCGGATCTTGCAAAGTTGTGCCGAAGCTGATTAAAATTGATTGTGCACTTTGTTTATCTTTGTTTGATATTGAAGTCGCTGAAAGGCATTGTAGGAAAACAATGGAAAACATAGGAATGACTTCCCAAATACAAATACGAAGGACAAAATACAAATACGGAACAAAGGATGAACTATTTTTACAGTTCCAATTTTATTTCATCTAAGAATATATCAATAGTAAATAGCTGCAAATAGCAAGCACTTGCAGTGAAAAATAGTGAATAGCACTCAACATGAATCTAATTCAATACACCAATTACATAGATTTACCATTTTCAGATAATCCAATGATCACAGCATGACATTGCACCAGGTGTTGATGGTAATCATGGTGTGCCACCAAGCTGCATTGCATACGATAACCACCTTTCATTTGCGAAGCTCAACCGATTTCTTCGTGGAATTCTTCCAATGTCTGAATATGCAGATGAGGCCTTCTGGAGGACGCTAGCTTGTTTATGTTTTTTTCTTTTTTGTTTTGCCTAGCAGGATGCAAATATGGAATAAATATGAATAAATAATGGAATCAACCTAGGATCAAATAATATCAAATAGTTTGCTCGTTATTTTTTTATATCCTTTGACATTGGTTTCACATGCTTTCACGTCACAGCTCCCATGTCGTGATTATTGTCAGCATCCTAGGGACTGCCAGATCAAGTAGTGTCTGAAGGTTCCCATGCTTCCGTTTGGGGTACCTAGGTACATTCAGATTCATTTTACTTTCATTTATTTTTTACTATTTTTTGATAAGCTTTAGATAGTTTTGATTAGTTTTGGATAGTATTGGTATATTTTAAATTATTTTAATATATATATATATATTAATATATATTATATTATTTTATATTATTTTATTTTAATATAATATTCTTTAGTTATTATTTGATATTCATGTATACTATTTTAATCTATTTAATGATGTTTTATGTTATGTTAAGATTTTGTTGTCATATTTGATGGCATTTAGATTGAAATAGATTTGTGTAACCTCAGGTACCCTACTGGAAAGACCGTCATCCGTTGTTCGGATCCAATGATCCGAAACATGTGCAGAAAGCAGTGCCACGTGGTCTGAGAACGCCATCCCGGGTGATGTATATCTTTGGCTTCTACTGCAATTTGTGCCCGCTAGTAGCTGGAGGATGTCCTCGACATGCGCTCACGGGACGGGACGTACACAGCGATCAAGAAGCAGCGCATTTCTTGAACCCTCGGTATCTCCAGACGTGTCGTTACGATGACACCGGTGTGAACCTTCTGCAGTACCTTGCTTTGATTTTTTGATTTTTTTTGAATAGAATGCAGCAGGTTTAAGATGATTTATTTCAACAAATTCAATCAAAAACAGAAAGACCATGTCAAGTTATATCTAAAATATTCTAAGCTATCAAAAACTGCCCCAGATGGGAACAATTGGGAACATATACGAACAATAGGTCAAGACCCTGCAAAGACTTGATATCATCAACTTTTAATGCTGTATATATATATATATGTATCAATCTATTTAATACATCAATGCATGATGCAACTAACAACTATTAGGCATTTGTACACACATGGATGATTTTAATGGATTTTACATACCAAGCAAATCCTTTGCTATCACCCAGGTTCATCAATGCGCTGACAACCAGCGGCTGGCACATTTCCACACTCTTGACGGCGGAGCAGATTGCCAAGAATGCACTCACAAGCTATTTCCTTATCCTGCTGTGGATCAAGGACTGTCATGACCAGAGGGGAAGTTCTTGGTGGCAAAATTGCCTTCCCAAGGCAACGGCATTCAACATGCTGTAGCTTTGATGTTTCTGTGTATTGTTTTCATTTGTTTTACATTGTTTTCCATTGTTTTTCAAATCAACGTTGTCAGTACATCTCATATGTGTTCAGAATTTGATAGAATTTGTGCCTTTTTGACCTTTGTTAAAACTATTTAACTATTTTTTTCTGCCATCCTTATTTTGTATTATTTTGTATTATTTTGTTTTAATCAACATGGTTAATTTTTTAGCACTCTATAATGCTTTTGACCTACATTAGTATTATTATGTATTATTGATATTTAGTATTTTTTATATACATATATACATATATATAAATATATAATTATTTATATATTATATTGTGATATACCCCTATAAGCTATAACATGTTTGAGTCATATCTTGGGCCAAAAAGCGTCGGTGTCCGCGTCAGTGCGGGGAAGGGTCTCCGCGTGGGACTGTGTGGGTCCGCCTGGGTCCGCGTGGGTCCGCGTGGGTCCGCGTGGGTCCGCGTGGGTCCGCGTGGGTCCGCGTGGGTCCGTGTCGGTGTCCGTGTCAGTCAGTGCGGGGAACCTTGCGTCTGTCCGTATGGGTCCGCGTCAGTGCCCGCGTCGGTGCTAGCTCTGGGTCCGGGCCCGTGTGGGTGTGCGTGGGTCCGCGTCAGTGTCCGTGTCACTGCGGTGACCGGGGCCTCGTGTGGGTCCACGTGGGTCCGCGTGGGTGTGTGTGTGGGCGGGGGTCCGCGTATGTCCGCGTGGGTCCGCGTCAGTCTTCGCGTGCGGGGACCGAAACTCCGCGTGGGTCTGCGTGGGTCCGCGTCAGTGTCCGCTCAGTGTCCGCGTCAGTGCCGGGCGCCGTGCGCTTTCAAGGTGATAACAAATTATATTTGTTTATATTTATTTATCATTATTTATCATTATTTTTAGGTAATCAATTATATTCAATGTGATTGAAGCCTATTATGTCCACAAATGAAGAATATCCAATGTTCAAATAGCTGCAAAGAAAGTGAAGCACAATAATTAAATAATATCAAATATTAATAAATATATATTATAAATGTATAAGCATTGCAAATAGTAGCAAATAGGTACCAACAATTATCAATAAGTTGCTATGTTGCAAAAAGATGCAAGAAGCATTATATGAAGTATACAATAATGATCAAGAATGTTTACCTTTTTAAGATTTGTCACTTGTACTAGAAACCACATTTCAGTTATTATACAATATTTTCATCATATATCGTACAGTTTAATCACAATTCATCACATATATGTGTAGTTTTTAGATGTTTTTAGTTTTTTTTTGAACATGATTTTAGTTTTTTTTGAACAGGTCCAGCGGGTCATACCCCCCCAGGTCAGGCAGGTCAGTCCACTCCCCTTCCCCAGGTATTTGCTGCTAGTTGCTCTTATTGGCGCCTATTTGCACATTTATAATGCTTTATCTCCTGCTTGACTCTGTTACCTTTTCGAGTGTTTCATTACATATATGCCCAGTTTTTATTTTACTTTTTGTTTGAACATGTTTGTGAGAAAATATGAGAAAATAATACATATCCTTATTGTTTTGTTTGCCATCGCTCACCAACTAGAATATGCCAAGAGTCTGGAGGTGTGTGAGCAGGCGTTTAGGAGCAGAAAGTGCACTTGCTGGAGCTTCACTTGCCTTGCTATGTCCCCATGAATCAAGCTAGAATTCAGTTGATCCCACATACAAAAACATCGATGGAACTAGAAGCCAATACCTGCAAATAGAGTCTGCTATTAAATGCTATTAAGCTACTATGGAAAACTAATGAAAATTGTGGAAATATCATCAAATGTGGATAAGCGATGATAAATCCTCCATTCCCATTGCCATACCCATTGTACCCATTCTCAGTCGTGACTTTTTGTTCAATGCTTTATCTTGTTCTGACAGTCCAACAATCATATGCAATGTTTTGCAATGTGTTATGCATTTTTTGGATATATTAATTTTGTTTTCTTATAAATTTGTTACACTATAAATTTCCATATCTTACAAAAGAAACTTTTTCTGGTTTACAAACCATAAAAGCAATATTTCTCATTTTGCATCATTTTCCTGTTGCTGTTTTCTAGTTTCTGTTACCGAAGCGAGAGACCACGGAAGTGTGGATGATGCTTCAGGCCCAAATCGAACTGATGCTGCAAAGCCAACAAGACTATGCAGGTCTTTCTACAGATCTACGACGTGCCTTTAATCATATAGGACGTCCTCAAGTCTTCATGCTAGCAACACAATTGGGCTTACCAGAACAACTGCTTCACCCATGGGAGAAGTTCTTGGTTCAGTTTGTCAGGAGATTTGATGTGATGGGTAACCTGGGGGAGCCACAGCCCTCCACCTCAGGGTTTCCTGAAGGATGCCCGCTCTCCATACTGGCGATGCTCAATGTTAATTGGTGTTACCATGTCTACATGAGGGCATTTTGCCCTGCCGTGATTGCATATTCCTTTGTCGACAACCTTACTTTGGCGGCTCGTGAAGCGCTTGCGGTGGTGCAAGCATACTTTGCACTGCGAACCATATGCTCGCTTTTTGGACTGTCGACAGATGATGACAAAACCTATGTATGGGCTCTACACAAAGCATCACGTGACTGTTTGGGCCAATTGGGCTTTCCTTGTCTTTCAGATGCCAGCGAACTGGGTGGTGCAATGACGTATGGGATCTCTCGCAGAACCAGGGTTCTCCGACAACGTGGGAGGTCTTTACAACCCAAATGGCAGAAGCTGAAACTTGCCGATGTTAAATGTAGACCGATAGACCGTTTTTGGTTTTAGGCCACCTGCACCTTCGGAAAACGTGTGTTCTCCGATCCTGAAGTTATCTAACTTTGGATCCCACGGCCAGAGCAGCAGCCATTCCAATGTATCTGCCAACCCATGATTGCAAAACACATTTGGCTCAAGAACACGTTGGCTCAAAATGGCTCAAGACTTTGACTTCCCAGCTTTCCAAAAAAAAGGGGGAGGAAGGGATGTAATGTAGTTGGCTCAAGACCAGTGTGGGCAAAGTTACCCACACTGGGGCTGGGAAAAAAAAATGGGTAAGATGGGATTGGTAACTAGATGGCTCAAAACCAATTTCGGCAAAATTTCCAAATTGGTGCGGTAGGGCAAGGAAAAAGTAGGAAGGGAATTGGGAAGGGATGGTTGGGACTGGGCTGGATGCGACCAGGGGTAACATGATAACATAATGTAATGTAACCTTGGGGTAATGCAACCAAAAATAGAATTTTCAACATGGCATGGCATGAAACCATCAAACCATAAACCATGTCAAACACAACATTTTTCAAACCTTTGGCATGGAACAGGGGAGGTGGTCTGACCCCTCTCAGTGACTGGATCGTTTTATTTTCGATTTATTTTTGTTGCCACAAGTGGCAGCGCTGTGGAACCAAGCTGTAGAATTCTCTGCGGCATGGCCAGCAGGGGAGGTGACCCCTCTCGCTGACTAGAATGTTTTCAATTTTCAACAAATCAAACAGTCAAACCAGGTAAAACACATGATTTTTGTGTATTATTTTGTTGCCACCAGTGGCAGCGCTGTGGAACCAAACTGTAGAATTTGTTTGGCATGGCCAGCAGGGAGGTGGTCTGACCCCTTTCACTGACTGGATTGTTTTATTTTTCAACAGGCTAAACCATCAAACCATGTTTATTTTTGATTTTTTGAAGAGGAGGTGGTTCGACCTCACTACCTGGAATGCTGGAGTTTTTTTGACAGGTTCCGGCATGCTGAGCGATCAAAGCAATGAAACCAGGGAGAGCTGCCAATTTCACCATTTTTTGTTTGGCAGCCAGCCTGGAAGGAAGACAAATTCAAACAAACCAATCTCACCCTCTGTCAGTCAGAAGTGTAACTGGGGAGGGGGGCAGGGCGATCCAAAAAATCATGAACTGGGTCTGTTTTTCATTCCGAGGTGATTTGATGATTTTTCATATGCAGCATTTCCTCCAACTGTTTTGGTTGGGTTGTGTGTGTGTGTGTGCTATATTATTTTTTTGGCGCCGATTCTATCTTAGATGGTATTGCTTAAGATGAAGGTGGTCTGACCCCTTTAACCACTGCTTCACCGAAAGGAAATACCTCTTCTGAATGGATCTTTTGATGGATCTACCCTAGACGGGGACGCCCTCAATGTTTTACTGGTACCAACCACGTCATTGGGCAAGGTAACCACAGAGAATGTCTGTAAACACCATTGATTTTTGATCAAGAGTCGTATGCCCCAGGCTAACCTGATGAAGTGTTTCTTAACCTCCATTTTTCTTGATGCCTCTGTTCCCACCGCCGCCACAATGTTTAGATCACTAATTACCCTTCCCCGGTTTCACCCCGCAGGACATGTGCACCTGTGGGCATCAGCAGAATATGACAGTTGGCGTATCTTGCTTGTGCCCACAGGTGTCCATATTCTACAGTTGGCGCTCCAGTTTCTGATGAAACTCAGCTTACAATCAGACTGTTGACGACTGTTGCGTTGAATGATGGTGGGCTTGCAAATCCCACGTGGTTGACACAGGGGAATCGATAATAATGCATGTTGATGGTTTCCAAAATCCTTTTTTGGTGTCATGATGTATGAATTCCGACCGGATCTAGCACCTGCACAACTCAGGACCTGTGGATTTCAAATTCCAGCAGTGTGCAACTGCTGACCAATTCGTCCGCAGTTGCACACTGCTGGAATTTGGATATCAAATTGGCATTAATGCAAGCATGGGTGCAGCTGCTGTGCAATGTTCAACATCTTCACTCGCGCTGGCTTTTGTTAGCCGCCGTTATGACTTCGTCATTCATGAGCCAGAGCCCTAACTGATGTGGGCCGGGATTCGGTGGGCAGATGTGGGCCACAGAGGGCGATGTGACTGTATCCATGTCAAATACGATTGGTCATGGATTAAATCTGGAGAGGTTGAACAGATAGATAGATATATATATATTTATTATATGTTCAAGATCTTTATTCATCTGATCTCAGCCGGGACCTTGAATATGTTCAAGATATGCCGTTTGCACGTGTAGCCTGAGGGGTTTTACATGGGGATGTTTGAAACTAATTAATTCATTGTCGCTGGAACACATCAGGCACCCCAGTTATGAATAAATAGAAGACTGCTACCCGCACCGCCTGCCCCGCCGGCCAGGTCCGCTCCGTTTGTTTAAGTGGGAAGTAGCAACTGGCCAAATAACCCCAATCCAATAATAACCACCCATTTCACACCCCACCTTGTTCAATACGGTTCCATCGCCAATAGGCGGTGGTGTGTTTTTTTTTCTGATTTTGGTTGTCACGGAAACTACATGCTTCCTCTCTAGGCCCCGCACTGAATATGATCAAACACGCACAGCACACCCCCACATATTGTCGTCCCTTCCCTTTGACAGATGGCAAACCGAGATTCCCTGAGTTGGCCGCAGCGAATCTTTGTTGGCCATCTTTTGGCGAAGAATATGGTTGTTAGTTGAAAACATGCTGGAGTACGTCCAGCTGGTTTAGGCGATTCCCCGCCCCACCCCTGGCCTTGTTTTGGGGCCGCTTCTCGTCATATCATCACGCACACTGTCAATTTCATCCAAACACAGGTGATGACGAATCATTCGCTCATATGTGATTAGAAGGCATGGCTGAATCCTTTTTGTAGGAACATTTTGGGGCTATTATTCAGCCATTCCTGGATCACTCATATCTATGAGCTCTTGAAGTTGGCGGAGTTGATTGCATGAAGCGATTGTTGTGACCCGCAGAATAGATCGGAAGACAGCTGTCCCGATCAAAGCGGAAAAGAGAGATGACGACAACAAGAAGATAGCCGATAGCCCACCTGATGGGCGTTGCAGTCGGCGTGAACAACTCAAAGGGCCCTTTCGGCCGCACCGGCCACAACGGAGTTGCCCTGTGAGAGACCCATGGGCCCCGGCCGGGCTGGAATACTACGCCTGGTTTGCTTACTACGCCTGGTTTGCTTGCTGCGCATACACACATAAGCACATGTCACATGACTGACCCTTCAACGAAGCCCCCGGGGATGATTAATTAGTGCGAGATTTACCACACAAATTCAATCAACGTAGATACTAGCGCTGTTACAATAGATATAGCTTAGCCTGGTTCCAGCAAATGACATGCATAGACTAGACTTAGATCCCCCACTCTGGCGGGGGCACAGGTCTCCGAGTTGGCTGCCGCTGCTCCGTCCAACACTGGCATGTGTTTTCTAGAACACATCCCAGTGCTGATCTGAACAATGACGAGCTGAGAGCCTGCATGAGATGGAACCTAATAGACGGTGGTCTGACCCCGTCTGAGTTTGAATTCCGGCGCAGGTGAACTGGCTGGAATTGTCAGCCACATCACCTACTCTGGAATCCAAACTCAGCCGCCGTTGGGGGCTGAGTTTGGATTCCAGAGTAGGTGATGTGGTTGACAATTTTGTGGTTGACGAAGTTTTAGTTGAGGCTGCCCGAGTTTTGCATTCGCAAAACAAATGCTATGTGGCCAAAAACAAAACATCAGGTCGCAAGACGCGTTTTGATGCAGGAAGCAAGAAGCCAATTTCTGCACTGCCCGAAAACACAGAGGCAGCCTTCCTTCGAAAACGAAAAGCCGATCTGAAGGGTCTGACCAGAGGGGGCCAAGCGTCCTCTCGTGGTCTGACCGGAGGGGGCCAAGCGTCCTCTCTTGGTCTGGCCAGAGGGGGCCAAGGTGAAGAAGGCAGAGACCCAGTCAGAGGCTACAAGTTCGATGCTGCAATGAAAAAGGAGGAAAAAAAGTGCCTCCAGGAAGTGAAAAAAAGGCGTGTGGAAGCCTTTGAAGACAATTTTCTTCTGGATTCCGAGAAGCCTAGCCGCAAGGACATCCAGAAACAGAAGGCAGAAGAGGCCAAGAACGACAGAGAGCGAATCAAGAAGCAGGCCTATGTGGACAACATGTGCAAGTTGGCACAGGAGAAGAAACCGATGCACTTCTTCTATGTTTTGCTGCAAGGACGCACTGCTTGGATCGACGACGAAGCTTCGCCTGAAGAACGTCAAGCGGCTTTGCAGGCTGGTCTGACCGCCGTGACTTCTTCTTTGGATGAGGCCAACGTGGCCTTTGTGACCAATAGCTCTCCAGAAAAACGTGCATTTTGGCACATGATGCTGCGAGGAGGGGCTGTAGTCGCCCGCGACTTCTTGACAGTGAAACGACATGTCTTTGTTTTGCAGTACAGGTCAGGAATCGAAATTCATCTGAAGTTGTTCATGAGTGATAATTTTGAAGCCAAGCACGTCCAGATCACTGCGTGCCTGCAACACCACATCCATGCAGAACCCACTTCCAAATGGGAGGAAATTGGCCAGAATCAGGCCAAAGTGGTTTTGTGTTTAGAAAATGAAAAACGCTCGTTCAGCAAACCAGGGGTGCGTGTGCACACAGCTGAAAGCTGAAAGTTTTTTGAGCGTTTGGCTACAATGACGCTCTTGACTGACAAGTCTGGGCGCTTAGGGTGATGCTGCTGCCGGGGATGATGACAGCAAGTCTCTTGAAAAAGTGCGTTAGCCAGTCTTCTTGCACCAATTCAATTGTGTGACTGACCGAGGGTCATGTTCAGTTATGACTGCATTGCTGTTTTTGTTCTGCTGTGTTAGACCAAGTAGTGCAAAATACAGCATTGAGCATTGGAAATTGAAACACCAAAAAGTTCAGTGGAGTTCCCGCGAACATGCAAACTTAACATTTTACATGTTCCATTTTGGGCGACGTTAAGTGTAGACCAATTTTGGCCCTTACATACTCCCCTTACACATTGCCAGCCCGGGCCGGGGCCGCGTAAGCAGCGTTAACGTGAACGCATCCGTGTAAGGACAGTATGAAGTTCGTACTCCCCTTACGCATTGCCAGCCCGGGCCGGGTCCGCGTAAGAGGAGTAGGTTTTCGCGTAAGGACAGTATGAACGCTAGCGCCGCTAGCGTACATACTCCCCTTACGCATTTACATACTCCCCTTACGCATTCTCAGCCTGGGCCGGCTCCGCGTAAGGGGAGTATGAAGTTCGTACTCCCCTTACGCATTTACGCTGGTACAAACGCTACTTTCCAGAGACACTAGACCTTGGAGTAGTCAGAGAATACAATCCAACGCTCTTGCTTCCGGAGTCTGGCTCACAGGCACATACGTTGATTAGTCAGTGTCAGTTACTACTGTAACAGCAGCCAATCTCACTGATAGAAAAGACATAAGCAAGTCAGCATAAGTATCATTAGCAATTCATTGTGACATTTTCGGAAATGAACTCAGACTCGCCGCCTTAGACCATGTTGTCCAAGTTGGCAACTAGAAAAAAAAACATGTCTGATGGTCTGACCTCGGGCAGCAAGCAGTCTGATGGTCTGACCTCGGGCAGAAAGTCTGATGGCCTGACCTTGGGCAGCAAACCAAAAAAATCAGCAGAAATGAAAAAACATTTCGATCGCATTCTCAATTTGGCCGAAGAAAAGGCTGGTGAGCCCAGCGCAAGTCGACCTGGAAGAGGTAAACTTCGTGTGGGGAGCGACTGTGCAGGAATGGGATCCGATTTAGCGGCTCTTACTTTGTTTGGGTTTCGCGAGCAAATCGAAACTTCAATGTGGTCCGATAGTGATCCCGACAAGAGGAAACTATATCGCCATGTTTGCTCCCTGTTAGATCTCGACGTTTCTCCCGTGTGCAAAGATATGTCAAAGAGGAATGCCGCAACAGCCCCATCATGTGATGTCTATGTGGCTGGCTACCCCTGTCCAAGTTACAGTGTTCTTGGGAAAAAGAAGGGCGTGCAGGATCCACGAGGACAAATCGGTCTGTATGGCCTTGAATATATTTGCCATCACAAACCCAGTTGTGTGGTCTTGGAGAACGTCAAAGGACTCCTTCAAAAAAAACATCAGCAATTCCAAAAACATCTTGGACTCCAATTTTAGTGCAAAACCCATACAAAATTGGTGAGAAACACAGATTTTTCAGTGCAAAACCCTTACAAAACTTGTGAATAACACAAATTTCCTGGTGGAAAACCGGCCCCCTAATCAAGCCAAGCCTCCAAAAGTATGATCCTTGTTGGTGCCTGGAACTGAGAACTGGTGCCTGGAACTGAGAACTGATTCTGAAACATTCTGATTCAGAAGCATTCCTCGGCACGCACCAACCCATGTTGATATCCAAATTTGAGATCCAAATTCCAGCAGTGTGCAACACCTGGCGAATGCTCAGCAGTTGCACACTGCTAGAATTTGAACACCAGTCCAGACCAAGGCGCCAATGCCACATTCGTATGGGTGCAGTGGGTCCTGGCAGAATCTCTGCCAGAAGCCACTGGGCCCATGGCTCACATCGAAATCCACCACCAGATTCATCCCAAACCTTGGTATGAATCCATTGGCTCCTTCAGGGACCCTTGCAGGAGCCAGTGGGTTCAGACCAAGGCTAAAACCCATGTTTTCGCCCATGCGACATTGGTATGCATCCATTGGTTCCTGCACCTCCATACCAATGTCGCATTAGCGAAAACCCAAGGCCCAGGCTGGAACCCTGTGTTTTCGCCAATGCGACATTCGTATGGATCCATTGGCTCCAGCGTCTCCTCCTGTGAAATCCAGGTAAATTTCAACAACATAGTTGTTGAAACTCATCTGGATCTGCTGGCTAGATCAGCAAGTCCACAAGTCCTGAGTTGGGCAAGTGCTAGATCCAGTGCAGTCTAACACCAAAAGATGATTTGGGAACAGTTTCACTGCAACTAGCGGTGGTATTTTTTTCCAAAGCAAGAGTGCGGTCAAGCCACAGTTGAATTTCTAATTAAACTACAAACCACTAGCTAATCGGTCTGAGTCTGTACAATATCATGCTAACTAAACAGCATCTTTCACTGTTGTTTTTCATTAGAAGCTGGGGTCAGACCACCAGCGACCTCCTGGGCTTCGAGCCATCTCTCACCTTTCTTGCGGATCAGCACTTTCTTGAGCTGAATAGCCAGACCACAAGTCTCCCAATTGTGCTTGACCAACGTCAGATAGTATTTGACGAGTCTCTCTGGCCGCCAAGAGGTGATTAAAGATTTCTGAATATGGAACCAGGAATCCTTGGGATTTTTCTTCGCTTTTATGATTGGCCGAGGCACAAGAAATTGTAGCCTTTTAGTTGTTTTTCCGGGAGGCGCGGGCATGGTTCCGTATTGCTGGGCTTGAAGCTGAAAAAACTGCTTGAATGCCCCGACCCAAAACCAATGGTAAAATTTAGGTACAAACTGGTGTTTCAGAAACCAAATGCACTAACATAGTTCCTTGTTGTTTAGTTAAGGGGGTCTTACAACCTTCAATAGAACCCCTCCCTCCAAAACAAAAGATAATATAGCACGCATACCATCGCACAATCCAGCCAAACCCGTTGGAAGAAATGTTGCATAGGGAAACACGTCAAAACACATCTGTTTTTTTGGAGTCCGTAAGTGGCAGGCATCTCGGCATTCCAGTGTTTGGTGGTGTGGGTGGTGGCCCTTCTTCTGTCTACTTGTAATGCACATAGAACATGATGCACGGCGGTCTGACCCCATGTGTCAACCATGATGAAGGTTCCCCTAATAATTTCCCTTTTACTACCAGTCTGCCACAGGGGGACATGATTGATGTCCAAGGAACTAAGTCTCCGCAGATTGCACGCGGCTCCGCAATGAATGGCTCCGCTCGTCAACGTCCCCTCCAACACTGGCACAAGAGTGACGAGATCTCTCATGCCAGTGTTGGAGGGAACGTTACGTTCAACCATAGCCAGTGTTGACTCCAAGGCGCTCCTACTGTCGATTTCGAATGCAGGAGTCGGGTCAGACCACAACACTGGCCAGCAAGTGTTCCCTGCAGCGTGTTGGAGGGAACGGCACGTCCAACCATAGGGTGACCCATCCTATGGTTGAACGTGCCGTTCCCTCCACACTGGCAGCAAGTAGTTCCCTGCAGCAGTGGCAGGCGTCTCGGTCGACTGAGACGCCTGCCACTGCTGGAGGGAACAGCATCCGTTCAAATTCCATCATGGGTGAAGTTGCTATGGACAAGACCTTGCAAAGCGAATCGCTCGACGAGATTTTGCGGAGCAGCTGCACCCATGCTGAGATTTCAATGAAACGGCGGCAGCCACTGCAGGCGGAACCGTTGTCTCAACAGTTCCACCTGCAGTGGCAGCCACAGGTCCTGAGTTGTGCAGGTGAGGGGATTTTGGAGACCATCAACATGCATTATTATCGATTCCCCCGTGTTAACCAAGAGGGATTTGAAGGCCCACCATCCTTCACCTCCAGAGTTTTGATTGCAAGCTGAGTTTCATCATCAGAAACCGGAGCGCCAACTGTAGAATGTAGACACCAGCAGGCACAAGAAACTTCTTGTGCCTGCTGGTGCCCACAGGTCCCAGGTGTCCTGCAGGGCGAAACCGGGGAAGGGTAATGATCTAAACATTGTGGCGGCAGTGGGAACAAGGGCATCAAAACGAATTGATGAAATCCATCAAAATAGTGTGGTTAAGAAACGCTTCATCAAGTTATCCTGGAGCATACGACTCTTGATCAAAAATCAATGGTGTTTACATATGTTCTCTGTGGTTCCCTTGCCCGATGATGAGGTTGGCACAAGTAAAACATTGAGGGCGTCCCCATCTAGGGTAGATCCATTAAAAGATACACCGGGTTCAAAAACTAGACACTATTCAACAGTGATGCTGGCCAGGAAAATGTTTCAAAAACAATGGAACAATTGGCTAAATACTAGCACTTCAGAAACAATATCCAGTGAAATTTCGGTGAAGCAGTGGTTAAAGAGTTCAGACCACCTTCATCTTGGGTAATATCATCCAAGATAAATCGTACAAAGATAGATCTAGCTCCAACAAAGGGATGCATATATACTCAACACCCAGTTGGTGATTTTTTGCATCGCCCTGCCCCCCTCCCCAGTTACATTTCTGACTGACAGAAGGTAATGGGATTAAACACTGCAATTTCTTCACAGAGGGGTCGGAAGGTCAGACCACCTTCCATTGGTTTGTTTGAATTTGTCTTCCTTCCAGGCTGGCTGCCAAACAAAAAATGGTGAAATTGGCAGCTCTCCCTGGTTTCATTGCTTTGATCGCTTAGCATGTCGGCACCTGTCAAAAAAACTCCAGCATTCCAGGTAGTGAGGTCAAACCACCTCCTCTTCAAAAAATCAAAAATAAACATTGTTTGATGGTTTAGCCTGTTGAAAAAATAAAACAATCCAGTCAGTGAAAGGGGTCAGACCACCTCCCTGCTGGCCATGCCAAAATTCTACAGTTTGGTTCCACAGCGCTGCCACTGGTGGCAACAAAATAATAAACAATCCAAAATAAAATGATCCAGTCAGTGAACAGGGTGAGACACTTCCCCTGCTGCCCAATCCATGCCAAAAAATTGAAACATCATGTGTTTTACATGGTTTGATTGTTTGATTTGTTGAAAAAAAATTAGTCAGCGAGAGGGGTCGCCTCCCCTGCTGGCCATGCTGCAGAGAATTCTACAGCTTGGTTCCACAGCGCTGCCACTTGTGGCAACAAAAAAACAATCGAAAAGAACTGAGAGGGGTCAGACCACCTCCCCTGTTCCATGCCAAAAATGTTTGAAATGTTGTGTTTGACATGGTTTATGGTTTGATGGTTTCATGCCATGCCATGTTGAAAATTATAAGGTTGCATTACCCCAAGGTTACATTACATTATGTTATCATGTTACCCCTGGTCATATCCAGCCCAGTCCCAACCATCCCTTCCCAATTCCCTTCCTACTTTTTCCTTGCCCTACCGCACCAATTTGGAAATTTTGCCGAAATTGGTTTTGAGCCATCTAGTTACCAATCCCATCTTACCCATTTTTTTTCCCAGCCCCAGTGTGGGTAACTTTGCCCACACTGGTCTTGAGCCAACTACATTACATCCCTTCCTCCCCTTTTTTTTTTGAAAGCTGGGAAGTCAAAGTCTTGAGCCATTTTGAGCCAACGTGTTCTTGAGCCAAATGTGTTTTGCAATCATGGGTTGGCAGATACATCAGAATGGCTGCTGCTCTGGCCGTGGGATCCAAAGTTAGATAACTTCAGGATCGGAGAACACACGTTTTCCGAAGGTGCAGGTGGCCTAAAACCAAAAACGGTCTATCGGTCTACATTTAACATCGGCAAGGAAAAGATCTATGGCACCAAAGTCACAGAAGTTGAGTGTGCTCCCAAAGGTCTTCTGGCCTAAAGCACTACACGGCTCTGCAAACTGCTTGATCGCAGACAACTACGCCAATGAGCTGCGTCGAACGGCTGTCAAAACTTTGCAGCTTAATGGAGCGGGATCAAACCCTCTTTTGAGACTGTCGTTGTCGGATGACATGAATGCAGATCCTGGTTTTTATCAACTGCATCTTTGCTTGGCAACTTTTCGCCGCATGCTGCAGAAAAGCCCTGACTTACTGCCGATGTGGAAGACATGGTTCTCAAACTATACTGGCAATTTGTTACCGGGACCTTTTTCCAGATTGATGCACTGCCTTTCAAACATTGGCTGGACGGTTGATGGGCCACCATTTGTTTTGGACCATGAGGGACATCGTTGGAATTTCATGATGTTGGATCACAAGACCTTTACTTTGCTGCTGGAAGATGCCTGGCTACAGTTTGTAGCATCTCAGGTGCGTCACAAAACTATGCAGGGGCTACAAGGCCTTGATGGTCTTCTGACTAAGCTGGATTGCACAACAGTTTCTTCCTTGGATAGAGCACGAATCTCTGCCTTGCACTCTGGCGCTTTTGTTTCAGCATATGAGCATTCCAAGTACGATGAGGAGAAGACACCCATGTGCACACAATGTGGATGCGAAGACGATCGGGCTCATTGGTTGGTTTGCCCTAGGTTTCAACACATCAAGAATGCCATCCCGAACTGGTACCATGACAATGTGGCACTTCCACCCTGCACATTGCACCATTTGCTTGTTCCACGTCAGCGCTGCGTGGTTGAATGGCGAGAGCAATTGTGCCAGCTGGAGAAGGATGGAATTTTTTATTTGCTCCCACCACCGCAGAAAGGGTATCACCACCTTTTTATTGATGGGTCCTGTAATAACCACCAGTTTCCTATGCTCAACTTAGCCTCATGGGGAGTAGTTGATGCTACAAGGGGTGACGTCCTAGCACATGCACCACTGAGCGGGGTAACTCAAACCATTGACCGAGCTGAACTTGCGGCCTTGCTTGCAGAAGTTCTTTGGCCGAGTGGCACAGAGCTTGGACTATGCATCTGGTCGGATTCGCAGTCTACCATTCATGTGGCAGATTATATCGATCAGTTTGACATGCTGCCAGATGAAGTTGCCAACCATGATCTCTGGCACTTGGTGAAGCAAGCACTCAGCGACAGACGTGGGCTACAAACTGACTTCAGATGGATTCCTTCGCATTTGGCACCCGAATCTAGCACTGACCCGTTCGAGGACTGGGTCATACACTGGAACGAGGTGGCAGATAGAGTGGCTGTGACTACCAATAGAGACCGTCCACAGTCTTTTTGGAGATCACATTCTGCGGTAGCATCCATTCTGGAGGGCTGGGCGACTAGACTTCGCCAACTGCGCTTGTTTTACACTGAGGTGGCAGAGCAGCAAAGCAGTGAGGTCACAAATGAGACTGAACCGATTTGCGTGGACTCCTCAGACACAGAGGATGACGATCTCTGGATTCCATGGGAAGATTTCCTGCCGGTGTCTTGGCAGGTGCAATGTGTTCATGGCAATTTCAAGATCCCAAGGGAGTTTGTGGTGGCAGTCGTCCATTGGATTTGTGCAGCTGAGCGTTTGGGTGAGACGGTGAGAGAAGTGTCTGATGTGGAATTCACTTTTGCTCTTTTACTTGATAGGGAATTTCAATTTCCTTTTTCCGTTGATGGTTCTCTGAAGCTTTGTTTGCGCAAACCTACTGAGCTTTTTCAGAAACCGACCTTTGTGCAGATGTTGAGACCAGTACAGCAGGCTATGGCAAGCCTGAAAAGTTTGTTTCCTGCGGTGATCCGTACTCAGCCACAAGCTAGGCCCCACATTGGACTTTTCATGAAATTTGCTGGTGTGCGAATGAAGATTCCTCACCAGGTATTGACTGAGGCGAGACGTCACCTGCATAGCTTCACTGCGAATCGAGCAGTGAGGCGATTGGTAGATCTATCGAGACCTGCTAACTGACCAGGACATTGCTGCAGCCGCACTGCACTGCCGTGCGCTGCAGCTGAAAGCCGTCCGAGATATGCATTTTTTGGATATATTAATTTTGTTTTCTTATAAATTTGTTACACTATAAATTTCCATATCTTACAAAAGAAACTTTTTCTGGTTTACCATAAAAGCAATATTTCTCATTTTGCATCATTTTCCTGTTGCTGTTTTCTAGTTGTGTTTCCCCTTGTTGTGTTTACCCCTGTTGCCACGGCCTGAGATCACCGAACAAGTGGAAAAACGGGCAAAATGTCAAATAACATTTAATAAGTACTAATAAGGATTTCATGTGAAAAAAAGGTTGAAGCCACAAGACTAATTGACTTATATATCTTTTATGTGGAATTTTTGATGTGTTTTAGATTGGTTTTTGGAATGCGTTGAATGCAAAAAAAGCATCTGCAAATAAGCGCAAATAGCAGCAAATACCTGTGGAAGGGGGGTGGACTGACCTGCCTGACCTGGGGGGGTATGACCCGCTGGACCTGTCATCTTGCACATATATATATATATATTTATTTATTATGTTATCATAATCTCTCACAATCATGTTCAAAACAAACTAAAAACATCTAAAAACTACACAGATATGTGGTTCTAATTGATTTTTTGATGAAACAATTTTCTTTACTAACGTGTCATTCAAGAGATTTACAAATAATACAGTTACCATTTTCATGCTTCGTGGTATAATTGACACATATCGAAAATGTAATTTTGTTTATATCTTTTTTTCATGATTGTATACTGCATACAATCCAAATTTCAATGTAGGTACCTGTTTGTGATTATTTGTACCTATTTGCATTTGTGTATATATTTACATATATATTTGCAGCTTTACATTTGCAACCTGGGGATGGTTCGATAACCTGGCAGGAAAGAAGATTCTCAAGTTCGAAAGGCTCCTTATGTGACAATTTCAAATATTTTGTTTATTTTGCCTTTTGTATTTTTGTTTTTTTTAAAGCAAGATATTTTTGAGTAAAACATAAAAAGTTGTGGCAGTCAGCAAAAGATCAAAAAGCTAAGGCTGCCAAATGTGAGTACAAGCGGCGACGCTGTCCACTCAAGGTTTGCGGGTGGGACATTTGCCAAGTGTCTCGCTTCATGAAGCAGTATATCAAGGGCAAGGAGCCAGACAGTGATCATGGCGTACATGCTTCTATGTTTGACACGTCTTCCTATCCGTCTCCAATGCCAGCATGGATTCTGAGAGCAGAGGAGAAGTCACAAACTGAGGTGGGCGTTGGGAAAAAGATACTTATGGATTGTTAACATTTGTATGTAACAAAACTTTTAAACATTTGTTTAGACTGCAACTTAATGCCATTAGCCGCTATCTACTCCTGGAGAGGATCTCACATTGGTCAAGTAGGTCATGTCTATCCCATGTTCTGACTGCCTGTGCTCAGGCCATCAGCATTTTTCCATCAGATGGTTATTTGGGACACTTTGCAGACAGAGGAGCAAATGGTTTGCACTACATTGTGCATCACCCGGATGTGGAGAACCTACAATTAGCGTCCATTGCACATTACTTTGGTTTGTATGTTTTCCATGATTGGTTATATAATACTCGTTAATAACACTTGATATTTAATGAGAATTAAATTGTTATTTGGTGTCCACATTTGTAATATCTTTAAGAATGTCTCCGTTGTCTGTTTGAAAGGCGCCAAGCTATTCAGCTGAGGTACAGAGTAGCCAAGCAAGAGCACATCATGATTGTCAGGGACAAGCTCGGCGGTGATTGCATTCAGATACGTAGCACAGATTGTTCGAATGACAATGCTGGTGGCAGAACCTTCATTGTGTATTTTTTCACTCAGTTGTGGAAGTGGAAGGAAGGCTGCAGAAAGGAGCTTCCACTACGAGAGGATGATGCTCCAGGAGTAGTTGACCAAGAGGCTGTTGTCAGGGGGCCAGTAATATCTTTCTGTTTGCATCTTATTAATCCAAATGCATATGATATTTGCATCTATTGCCCTCTATTTGCCCTTATTTGCGTTTCATCAAACATGAATTTGCTACAGATGGTAACCTATTAAACTTGTCTAACGTTTCATCTTGTCTGCATATGACAAAGTAGAGTTATTGTGGTTTCATATGGTTTTATTATGTGTTTTGCATCGCCACCCTGATCAGGTGCTTGAAATGGATGCGGACCATGACTGCATTTTTACGATGCTTCAATTTCCAGACAGAGACTATGAAGGTTATTCAGTGAACAGGACAACCGATGGATGGTATTTTCTGATCAGCCATAAGGACGTGCAGTACAGGATGACTATTGCGTACCTTATGCTGCACATTTTTTCTGTACCTGTTATACAAATACACACGACGACTATAAATGAGATTAAATGAGTGTTGGGTCATTTACATAGTAGCTATTGGATGCTATTTGCATCTGATTGCATCTAGCTGCAGCCTTTTGTTTGATCATAAACCAATGTCAGAACAAATCAGGCCAAGAACCTTTTTGTAAAGTCAAAGGCATCCTTTGATATGTTGTTTTTTTTCCCGCTACGTTTAACGCAGTCAGGCACCGATATGCTGGTGATGAGAAGTGTACAATTTCAACCTCGGCAGATGGATTACCTACGTTGACCACAAAGTCAGATGACGGCATGGTGAACATCAGAAACATCAAGGACATATTTCATGAGTTGACCAAACAGCATCTATTGAGTTGTGAACGGTGTCTTCAGAAAGCCAGTGGCTGGGTGCAGTTTGGAATGTAACATTTGATATGTTAATGTATTTTCAATTATTTTCAATTATTTTCATGTATTTTCTATACTTTTACAATGTTTTATCTGCGTTTTTTTTTGTGTTTGTGATTGTAAGTGTTTGGAAGATGTTCTATCTCTCTTCACATTCTGCTAAGGTGGGAAATCCAAACCAAACCTTACCTGAGCAGAGCGCAGGATTGATGATGAACAGGTTTGCACAATAGCTGCAACTTGCATCCATTTGCAATCATTTGCATATATGATATATATGTGTCAATTCCGGTCAGATGCGGGAGTTTTTGCCTGTGATTTTTGCATGCGGAATACATCGGAACGCAGAGAGCCGACAGATGGGAAAAAATAGTGAATGCAAATGCTGACTCGGACATTTCAGGAGCACACTGTCATTGATTCATATTGTTTGCCAAAGTAGTCAGAGGACATCCTGTCAAATGGATTGCTAGGCATTGTGGTGCTTACTTTGAATTCATTGTGTGACATTTCTGGGCTTCTTGTTCAAATCTAAGGTTAGCTGCATATTGCTGCCATCTTGATGGCAATTCCTGGAAACTGTCTTCATGACTGATGAGAAGTTTGTTCTGGCCGGTGCCCAGAACAAGCTATACCGTGAGAATATATGTGGATACCATGAAAGCAACTGTGAACACCTTTCACCTGCAAGATGGAGAGATCAATTTGGATTGTTTTCTTTATGTTTTTTTATCTCACAAAAGTGTCCACTGTAGATCCTCCCAGTATCCCAATTTTAGATTACGTTATTTTTGTGTACTTTTTTTCACCTCCGTGAGCGCCATTGACCGCATCAGATTAAAAAAAGCGCGTCTCTTCCAGATCAAAATTCATCTAGATTCATAAGATCAATGCAGAGAGGTTTGAATCTGAGCAAAGAGCTTTCAGATACTAGTAGCCACTATTAGCTACTATTAGTGACCGCCGTTCGTGGTTGCTGGATATACCTCATGATTAATTCTTGTTATTGATTCCGCCTTGTATTAAGGACTGGAGAGTGTGTTCTCGCTGAACTGCGTCAGTCGTCGCCGCGGCCTAATGATACTCCACACCGTCTCCTTGGATGGCTTGGAAAGATTCACTATGAAGCCCCAAAGGCAGTTGGCATTGCAGATGGTG